GGACCTGGGTTTGATTCTCAGGACCTACATGGTGGTTGACAACTGATCCAAGGGAGTCCGATGCCCTCTTCTGACCTCTGTGGGAGCAGCATGACATGGATGCCCTTACACACACAGCAATATACTCATACACATAAAATAAAATTTTATTTTTTTAATTAAATTTTAAAATGCAGATATAGGCTATATTTCTCTCGCAAGGCATAAATTCAGGAAGCATATGAAAAGTACACTGGAAGTTACAATTATTATAGCAACCAATATTTAAGGAATGCATACATACATATGTATATACACACGCACACATATGCAATATGCTTTTAAGTCTTAACCCAATGAGTTTCACATGTAGCAGATAAAGAAACTGAACCTTGGGGCTGGAGAGATGGCTTAGCGGTTAAGAGCACTGGCTGCTCTTGCAGAGGACCCAGGTTTGATTCCCAGCATCCACACGGCAGCTAACACCAGTACGTAACTCCAGTTCTAGGGGCCTTCTTCTGAACTCCACAGGCATTGTACAACATGGGTGAACTTCTACATACATGTAGGCAATATACTCATACACATAAAAATAATAAATAAAGCTAGGTGTAGTGGCGCACGCCTTTAATCCCAGCACTCAGGGCAGAGGCAGGTGGATTCTTGTGAGTTCAAGGCCAGCCTGGTCTACATAGTGAGTTCAGGTCAGCTGGGACTACAAGGAGACCCTGTCTCAAAAAGACAAAAAAAATAATAATAATAAATAAAATGTTTAGTCTTGAGTACCATCACTCATGTGGCCTGCTGTCATCTTGACAGTTTTATTTTTTTTTAATGTGTATGAACTGGAGTTACAGATGGTTGTTAGCCACCATGTGGGTGCTGGGACTCAAACCCGGGTCCTCTGCAAGAGCAGCCAATGCTCTTAACCACTGAACCATTTCTCCAGCCCCATCAGTTTAAAACAAAAAAATCTGTTCTATTCATTTCCAACAAAGTTTCCTTGCTACCTTGAAAAAGAAGTTTACTGTGTTATAAGAGAAGGAATATCTTATTCCCTCCTGGGAGGCTGAATTATTTGTATGGAGAATTGTTATCTTTTCCCCCTGCCCCCCATTTCCTCTTAAATATTTCAGGGTTGGGGAGATGAATCAGTTGGTAAAGGGACTGCTGCAAAGCATGAGGACCTGAGGCTGATCCCCAGCACCCATGTGAAAAATCCATATGCAGTGGCACAGGCCTATAGTCCCAGCTCTGAGGAAGCAGAGACAGGAGGATTACTAGGGCTTGCTGGTCAGCCAGTCTAGCCAAATCAGCAAGCTCCAGGTTCAGTGAGAGACCCTGTCTCAAAAAATAAGTTCGGGGGGCTGGAGAGATGGCACAGTGGCTAAGAGCACTGGTTGTTCTTGCAGAGGTCCCAGGTTCGAATTCCAGCACCCACATGGCAGCTAACAACTGTCCTTAACTCCAGTTCCAAGGGATCCAACAGCCTCTTCTGTCCTCTATGGGCATTGCACGACACAGTTGTGCTAACCTACATGCAGGCAATACACTCATACACATAAAACAAAAATAATATTTTTTTAAAAAAAGTTCAGGCTGGAGAAATGGCTCAGCTTAGAAGTGCATACTGCTCTTGCAGAGGATCTGAATTCAGATGCCAGCATCCATGTTGGGCAGCTCACAAACACCTGTAACTTAGGCTCCAATGGGATCCAATGCCTCTGGTTTCTCCAGGAACCTATACTTATATACAAATGCTCACACAGATGCACATAATGAAATAAATCTTTAGAACAAAAAAGTTGGAAGAGTGATTGAGGAAGATACCCAGTATTGACCTCTGGCCCTCCACACACATCCTTGAAAATTTTATTTAGACTTTTTCTTGGTGTGTGGTGTATGTGCACATGTATGTGAGGGTGCATGCCTGCATACATCTGGACAGAGGCCAGAGGAGGTGTTGGTTACCTTCATCTATCATTTTCTACCTTATTCCTTTAAGGCAGGGTTTCTCTCTGAACCAGGAACTCTTACTTTTGGGCTAGGCTGGCAGCCTGCAAGTTCAGAGATTCTATTTCCTTCCCTCCCTCCTAAGCACTGAGGTTAAAAGTGTGCTTGTTCCCACACCTGGCTTGTTATGTATGTACTGAGAAGCAAACCCTGGTCCTCTGCAAGAGCAGTCAGTGCTTTTAACCACTAAGACATCTCTCTAGTCTCGTTTTCTTTTTAAATTGTTTTTGTCTTATGTAGCCCTGGCTGCCTGGAAACCCACTTGTTTCCTGGTAAGTGCCCTGATCGAGCTGCCTCTGGGACAGGGTCTTCTCAACAATCTGGGAATTTCTATGCAGACCAGAAATGGGAGATACCTATTTCAAGTTACAGCAGAAATCAATGACTGGACATCACCAAGATTACCCCTGGATTCTTAAGAGTCTGAGCTCTGCACCCCTCATTTCTGAGGTTCAGGGGGTACAGGAGAATCAAAGGCATGGCATCAAACCTCAAATATAGGACTTTAACATAATAAAAAAGTTGTATTAGGCATCTTTTTTAAAAGATTTATTTGGGGGCTGTAAATAGCTCAGTAGTTAAGAGCACTTGCTGCTCTTCCATATGACCTGAGTTCAGCTCTATAACTGTGTGTTTGTAACTAATTCCAGGGATCTACTCCCTCTTCTGGCCTCTGTGGGCACTGTATGCATGTGTTGCACTTACATACATGCAGGCAAAACACTCATACACATAAAATAGCTTTGGTTTTTTTTTGGACATGTAGTTCCAGCATTCTAAAGGATTCTACATTCAAGGTCATCCTCAGCTACAAATCCAGTTCAAGACCAGAGATCTTGACATCAAAATAAACCATATAAATAAACCAAGATCTGGCCTCCTCCCTGGCAGCCCTCTCCCCGAGGGCTGAGGACCCTGCTCACTGGTTCAGAGCCCTTCCCCACCAATCTGCCAAAGTTTTAAACTCCTTGGTTCATTGGTAATCATGCAAAGCCTTACCTAAATCAGTTTTACAGCAAAATAGCCTGTTATATCATCCCAGAACCCTATGCCAGGTGCAACTATTGGCATCTCAGAGCTGCTCCATTTATCTCAGATGGTTGCATTTTAGCTATATTTGCACTCTTAGAAGATGAAACAAAACCCCCACAAGACTCAAAACTTACAAAAATTAGCCATGCCTGTGATTCCAGTACTGAGGGAAGCTGGGGCAAAAAGACTGCTTTTAGTTTAAGGTAACGAGAGAGAGAGAGAGAGAGAGAGAGAGAGAGAGAGAGAGAGAGCAGAAACAAGGAGTATCTTGGGGATAGAGAGAGAGAGAGAGAGAGAGCTAAACCCTTGGTTTAAAAAACAGAGAAAATATTAAAATTATGAAAGTTGAGCTTATAAAACCAAGGACCTGGGATCCAAGAAAAAGCTAAAACGAGATCCAGATGACCTCTTCATTGTACGAAACCACCCTCAAATGGCCCTGTGGTGATCTAGCTCTATCTATCAGGGTCCCCTTGGTCATCCTCCAAGGCCTGAAAGTTATTAAGAGTTGAGACATTAAACTCTTTCATGTTCCATTTCAGCAGAAAGTAGCCAGATTAACTTGATGACTATCTCCTAAATGATTTTAAGATCTGAACTTCTGAGGAGAGGAATGCTAAGTAGATATACAGCTACACATTAGCAGGCCTGGAGGTCACTGAAGATGTGCCTCTCTCACAATCGGCCTTGCCCCTCTTTAAGATGTAAAGTAACAATGAAAGGGAGGAAGGTGATGTTAAGGCTTATGTTGAGGTCCACTAAAGGAAAGCTACTTCTTCCTGTTAAAAGAATATAATATGACTCCCTCCACTGTCCCTGGGTAGATATAATATTCTAATCTGTCCCCTCCTTAGGAGTTAATCAAACTGGACCTGTCAATCATCTGGCCAGGAGACCACCTCTCAGAAAAGCTGATTTACCTGAAGATGTGCTAAGGAGATGAGAATTATCCCCTCAATGAGGTAATACACATGTAGACACCAGAAGCCCTTCCCTCAAGGCAGTTAAGATCTTCATCACTAAGCCACCAATTTTTCTGAGCTCTCTCAAAAAGCGTTGACTTTTCCTTTTCTCTTCCTATTCTTTCTTCGGACACTGGCCAAAATCCTAGGCATGGTTGCCCTGGTACTCTGGACATTGTTTTTCTGAATCCCCACCTCCTATCTTTCTAGTTTCTTGTAGACCTCCATTGCTGACTCTTACTCAGAAAGCATGACTTTCTTCTCCATTCCCTCCTCCCTGCAGCAGCTACCAAGATTTACAGCTTGCCTGCCCTATTGCTTTTCTCAAACTCTAATAAAAATAGTCCTTAAGCTTTAAAAACAAATAATGAAACAGCAGGCTAAGGCTCTTTAGGCACTCTCAGTGGGTCTTAGAGACAGGGAGTGACTGGGGTCTTTGTTTGGGCATAAGCCTTGTTCTTCCTCACTCCTGGCTGGGCAGCAGGGAAAAGGGAAGGAGGGGCAACTTGGTGTCAGGTATCACATACTTGTTGTCTAGTTACTTCAGAGACTGAAGATCACTTGAGAAGCTCAGTAGTACCCTAGGCAACAATGAGACACACACACACACCCGCCTTTTGAGACAAGGTCTAATGATGGCCTTCAACTTGTGATCCTCCTGTCTCAGCCCCCAAGTTCTAGTACTCTACATTTGGTTGAGACCCCATCTCTATTTTTTTTTTTTTTAATCTTTTTGAGATAGGGTCTTCCTGTAGCCCCAGCTGTCCTGGAACTATGTATACCAGGCTGGCCTTTAACTCACAGAGATCCATCTGCCTCTGCCTCTCAAGTGCTGGGATTAAAGGTGTGTGTCACACCTGGTGAGACCTTTTTTCTTTAGAAAATAAAAACCTGGGGTAGAGGTCAGAAGAAGACACATGTCCCAACCTGAGCTGAATGAGCTATGACTGACCACCTTGGGAGGCAGTCTTAGCAAGGCTAAACCCTCAGATCTGGGGAAAGCAGAGGCCAGACTCTAGGTCTAACAGCAATTTTTATTCCCTAGGAACAAAATACATAAGGAAGAAACTCCAAAAGGAAATAGGAGCACAAATGACAGAATGATACCAGGGTGGCCTGATTCAGTTCAGGATTGTACACTGTATAAGGACCTGGGTAGGGCCCTGATTCCTTTAATTCACATTTGCCCTGTCTCTGAGTGCCCACCTGAGATGGAGAGGGCAGGATCTGTGATGTGGAAAACTTTCCCCCACTATACAAAGTAGATGAACATACATATCTAAGGCCCAGGAACACCAAAACCTCCCTGTCAAGAATGGAGGTAGGCAGATAAGAGGGGCTTGGGTGTCATAAACAACCTGAACATGATCACAGGGGCCCACTGTAACTGAAAGAATCAGGGCTGACATGGGAGGCAGAGACAATCAACAGGTGGTCATGGAAGCTTCATGCTTAATGGTGGAACTGATCAATCCTGCCAAAGTGGGTCCCAGGGCAGTTATAAGTGCAGTCTTTCTTCACGCCAAGGACCTTGGTTCTACTGAATCAGAAGCACCATCGTTTTCTCAGCATATTCACTTATTTCCCAACTTATGACATAATTGTGTGCCTTTGTAAACCTGATCCTTAAGAGAAAAGACTGGCAAGGGATAAGAAAAACCCTGTCTCACCTTCATATGTCCAAGACTGGACAGCTTTCATGGCAAGTGAGAATCTTTAAGAACAAAGTCGTTTGTTGTGGGCTAGGTCATCCCAACCCAACTCTGCAGAACACATGTAGGGACTCATCCCTGCACTTCAAAGTGGCCCCTGGCTGCTGCTTTGCAGTGAGGCCAGGTCACAGGGAGGTCTCTTGAACAATGTAAGTAGGGCTGCATGGCTGGTGGACAAGGCCATCCTCGGCCACCTCCTCTTTGTTTCTGCTGTCCTGCAGCACTCCATTCCTTATCTTCTCCGGAAACAGGTTGGAGATCATGGGGGCATCCTAGAGAACACAGAGCAGATGTGGTGAGGCTGGTGAATGTGGGAGAGGACAGGTAGAGCAGGGATGGGGAGGGCAGGCTAGGCTGTGGTCCCTAGAGTCTAATGCCCCCCCCAACGCCAAAGGACCACAATGGGGAGGCTCGAGTGGCTACTGTGGAACCCTCTTTGCTTAGGCATAATAGAGGAGTGCAGGGGGAGCAGGGGATGGTAGGAGACCTGGAATGTAGGTGGCTTCTTGGGGGAAGGAAAAAGAGGGGATCATGTGACAATCAGTCCCACCTGGCAGTGGCTTCTGCAACAAAGCCACTTCTGGCAGGACAAGGGCAGGAGTGAAAGGAGCTTTGGCATCACAGGGTAAATGGTACCGGGGTTCAGGGACCGGCCCCGCATGCCCCCTAAGGACAAAAGCACTTGTGAGTCTCTTTCTGAAAAGGCCCCCAAAGCAGCAAGCCCCTGCTCGTCCTGCACCAATGTCTGAGCCCCCCAGTCCACTCACTGATATCAGCAAGGAAGACTGGCTGTTACTAACATTCAAAGTGTCCCAAGATCAGGGTCCCACCTCCCCCAGACTGCAAAGTCACCAACCCCCCCGCCCCAGCCCTTCCTTAATTCTCTGTGCAGCAATCCCACACCCTCACCGGTGAGCAGACTGACAATCAGGCCTACTACAATGACTGTCGTGGAGTTGTGCGCACTGTACCATAAATAGGACAGGGAGTAGAACCGCTGCAGTCCTGTGGGCCTGGGGAGAGCAGAGAAGGATAAGAACAAGAAGCAATGCCTTAGCAGGGCATTCCTCAGTCACCAAGACCTACCCATTTACAAGATCTTAGGACCCAACCCAGTTCTACTCTAAGGTATTTGGTTGCCCATCCCTTAGCAAGGCCCTTATGAAATCCCTCAGAATTGAGCTACTATCCCCAAGGAGATTGTGCCCCGCCTCACTTGGAGAGGGTGGTAGAAGGCATCAGGGTGGTCACGGTGGTGATGGTCAGATTGCTGGGCAGGAAGGAGCTCGACTCATTAAGGGAAGGGGATACCACGGCAGAACTCAACCTGGTCACTATGCTCCCAATGCCGATCCAGAAGGCCATAATAAGTCCAGCCAACAGGCCCACAATGGCTCCCTGCCCAGAAACACAGTGAAATCTGTCAGAAGGTCAATGCCACCAAACCTTCACACCAACCTCAAGCACTCCTGCTGAAAGCTCTTCCATCCCAGTCCCATCCACATAGCTGTAGTGCCAGATGTCACTCACAGGAGGATTGGCACATGGAAAGAACATCCCGAGGCAGAAGAGTCCCAGCAGTGGCCCTCCAACCATGCCAAAGATGCTGATTGCTGCCTGGGGTTGCAGGAAAAAGAGAAAAGAAAATATGGGCTCAGAGATCCCAGCCTCACTGCCCAGAGTCAGTCACCAGCTGTCAATTTCTTCCAAGGCAGGAATGGCTGACGGAATGTGCTCTGTGTTCTGAGGCTGAGCCCTAGGTCTCTCTGTGCTGACAACATCATAAAAATGATGTTGGGTCTTTTGGTCAATTTCAGTTATCATTTACCAAAGGAGAATTTATAGGGCTGGTGAGATGGCTCAAGGGGTAAAGGTATTTGCTGCCAAGGCTGATACTGGAGTTTGGTATCTGGGACTCACATGGTAGAAGGAGAGAACCAACTCCCAAAAGTTGTCCTTTGACCTCTGCTTAAGTGCTGGCATGTGTGTCTCCACACACAATAAAAAAGTTTTTTAAAAAGAATTTGCAAGTCGGTCACAGTACTAAAGGCAGAGGCAAAGGTAGGCAGATCTGTGAGTTCAAGGCCAGCCTGGCCTACATAGTGTTGCTGCCCAGCAGGGTTACAGGAAGATCCTGTCCAAATAAATAAGTAAAAATAAAAACAATAAATACAATAGATATTTGATACCTGCCCTCAGGCCATTCCTCTTAGAATACCTGTCTTCTTGTTTCCTGTTTCAAACACCCCCCAACCATTAAAAATTGCTTTCTTGCCGGGCATGGTGGCACATGCCTTTAATCCCAGCACTCGGGAGGCAGAGGCAGGCAGATCTCTGAGAATTCAAGGCTAGCCTGGTCTACATAGTGAGTTCCAGGACAGCTGGGGCTACAGGAAGACCCTGTCTCAAAAAGACAAAAAAAAACCAAACAAAAAAATTGCTTTCTCCTCTCCATAGTCATTACCTGTAGCACAGGTCCCAGATGAGATGAAATATAGGCCATTCCCAGACAAAGTAGCCCATAGCCAAAGGCTGCAGAGAAGCAGAAGGGAGGAAAGAAACCAATGTAAATAAACACAAAGAGGGGGGGCACTTTTATGTCCCTGGAAAGAAAAGGCCCATTACCTCATGCCTCAGCTCTCTGCTCTGTCATCACTCCTATGTGACTCAGACCCTGTGTGCTCCCACTCTCCCCACAAGCAATGTGCTAGGACATAAGCAGCCATAGGGTGAAGGCTGTGTGCTTCATCAGGCATGTGCTGAGCCCAGGATAAAGCAGATGCTCTACAGCGGACTCATGACAATGGTCAATGTATGTGTATCTCAGAGTGAACAAGACTTAAGATATGCAGAAGCAAAATCCCACCAAGGCTCCTGGAAAGCATGATGGCCCGGGTTTCAGACAAGGCAGGGAACCAGGGGTGTATTAGGTCTTCCATTGTAACAGTTGCCAGTGAATTGAACGCAGAGGATATGGTGCTAGAAAGGAGGAAAAAGATGGTAAGCTTCCTGAACGTGGTGGCATATGCCTTTAATCCCAGCACCTGTGAGACAGAAGCAGGCAGATCTCTGAGTTTGAGGCCTGCCTGGTACACACAGTGAGTTCCAGGTCAGCTGGGGCTACAGGGAAACCCTATCTCAAAAAAAAAAAAAAAAAGATGGTAAGTAGTGTTGGGTCTTGGGGTCAAGAGAGGCAGAACCAAGGACTCTACAGACTTGGAGATCCCTCCCCTCTATCCCAGCAGGGGTAGGTGTAATATACCTGGAGGAACTTATACAAGGGGGTACCTGAGAGATCCACTGAAGAGGCAGGCTACAAAGAGCCCAGGCAGGCCTGGTATGTCTTTCAGGACGTCCATCACAAAGTAGAGTACTAACTGCAAGAGCAGAACATGCTCTCAGACACCTCATCAAACCTGTCTTCTGTGTAAAATGACTCTGCTGGGAGGCTTAGATGAGACCAGATATGAGACAGTTCCCAATAAGCATGTGGTACACAGTGGGGAATTGATAAAGGCAGGTCCCTGCCCTCAAATAGGGTGAGCACTAACCAGGTATACTGGGGACTGGGATCTGACATGCTGGACTGCTGGAAGCTCAGAGTGGGAGAAGACCTTCCATCCATTTTCCCAATTCAGCTACACAAGATACTCTGTTTAGGGGTCCAGACTGGCTTTTTAGGAGCATAAGGAGGAGCCAGGGAAGCCTTCTCACCTGGTCAGGTGCTGCCTTTTCCTGCTGGGGGCTCATATTATATTCCTTATAATAGGCAAACATGACCAGGCCGATGAGGCAGCTCATGCAGAGGGCTATCTGCTGGCAGGGGAACACTGCATAGCAGGAGCTACAAGAGACCAGTGCCAAAGGAAAGGTGGCATCAACACTCTTAGGCATGCCCTCCTAAGCCTCCAGAAAGACCCCTAAGAGGGAGTGTGCACCTATGGGGATCCTGTCCCACCCCACTGCCTCTAGGGAATCCCTTCCCAAGTCCTTGCTCCAATACTTCCTGTCTCTGCACTTACAGCACAGCAGCCCTCTCCGTGTGGGAACTGAGGTAGCGCTGCACCTGAGCCTGGTTCACTCCATACAAGGAGAGCATCATGAAGATGCCCCCGAAAGCCAAAGTCCAGAAGGTATGACGCACAAAGGGATCAGGATCCAGCCTGCAACAGATACCACTCAGTCACTGCTACAGCCCCAGATAAGGTGCCTACTTTATTCTCTTGGCAAGAGAGGTCAGTGGAGAGTAGAGCAGAGCCACCAGCACTAGGCCAACAGAATGGCAGAAGGCAAGGAGCTGGGAGAGATTCTAGATGGCTCAGCAAGTAGGAGGGAGGATTCCTTTTCTCCAAGCCCAGCTTCATCTCAGGCATGCATCTAGGCAACATCTAGACCTTCCATAAACACAGGCCAGGCATCCATGATCACCCTCTGCAGTATGAGCTTTCTGCCTTATGAAGTGTTGTGAACTTGTCCTCTGCTTACTAAAGGCCTGAGACCAGGCTCTGAAATGCCAGTTAGGAGAAGGCACATACTTACTTGATCCCAGAGATGCGGTCATTCTGGTAAGCCACGTCCCATACTTTCCCCAAGCCACCCACTTTGGCTGATCCTACAATGATGACCACCAGCTGCCCTAGGAACATAACCAGTGTTTGGAACACATCTGTCCAGATGACAGCTTTCAGCCCACCCTGCAGGGAAAAGAGCACATCTGTCACAAATGTCTTCTAAACCATCCACTGAGAAGGACATCATACCACTTAACAAAGCCCCTGCATAACCCCTGAGACTGTTGGGTCATCCCCATCCACCTTCTACCTTCCCGGGCTAACTGCCTCCTATACCCAATACTAAATCTCACCTCACCCTGTATCACCCTAGAATTCCATCCCATTTTTTTTCCTAACAGAATGATTTCTTTTATTTTTTCTTTTTTTTTAGAAGCATTTTATTACAGCTCTAATATACTCATTAACAGTTTCCAGAGCAAAGATACATCTCTTTCAAAAGTGGCTATAAAATTTTTAGGTTTGCTGTTGAATTAATATAGTTATACAATATTGAACTCAGTATAAGCCCTATAAGACATAAAATTGAATGTGTTTTTAACCTTTAAAAAAGATCTCCATTTCATTTTAAAATGTACTGTTTCTTACAGAATGACTTATTGTTTTTGCTCGTAACACTGAGATGTTGGCACATGTATCTAATCTATATGTATCAGTTGCACTTCGGATCCTTGGCACCTGTGTTATGTCTACAAAGTCATTGGGTAGATTTCAATGGTAATGTTTATCTAATTAACATGATGTAAATTTTTATGCTTCCTCCTCAAATATAATTCATTTTTTAATTTGTTGATTTTCTATGTGTGTGTATATCACACAGAACATCCCAACCCATTTCTTATCTCTATTCTTATTTTTTTTTAATGCTTTTTTGAAACCATGTCTCCCTGTAGCCCCAGCTGACCTGGAAGTTATAATGTAAACCGGTTGGCCTCAATCTCAGAGATCCACCTGCCTCTGCCTCTGGAGTGCTGGGATTAAAGGCCTGCATCACCACACCCAGCCTTCTCATCTTTAGTCTTATGGTATCCCTTTTTTCCTTCCATCCCTCCAAGAAACATCACACATACCAGTGCAGTATAGATGTTGCAGACAATGCCTAGGGCCAGCACTGACAGCCACAAATCAAAGCCAGTCACTGTAAATAGATACAAGTCACATTCCTATCTCTGTGAAGTTTTCCAATGGAAAATTCAGAGAAATCCTGGTGAGGGTCCAAAATGAAGCAATCACTCATTAAAAATGAAATAAATTATTCACCATGATAGGCAAAAATGTCTGCATCAAAAAGGGTTGATTAACCAGTTCAGGCGTGGCATGGTAATGTTTGATCAGCCTTCAAGTGAGGCAAACCAAGTCTACTTCTACCTTTGATAGAGACCAAGCCAAGAATCCAGGCAATGAATCAACTTCTCTTGAAGGTCAGATTCTTCCTGGCACACCACCCTCTCTCCACCCCCTTCCAAAGGCATCTTCCCAGACTACCAAGGCCAGAAGTCAGGGGCTATGACTCCTCACCTGCATTGAGGGCCAAGGATGGCGCATAGAGTGCAACCCCCATGTAGATCACCTGTAAGATGTGGGAAAGGATGTGAAGTGGAGGAGATGCAGGCGAAAAGAGTGAATGATGGGCCCCAGCTCGAACATCCCCAAGGCTTTCCTATGCCTAGGCTCACATCCCTTGCCCTTCTCCCAAAGTCTGGATGGCCACCACTACCATTCTGTAGTGGCATCAGATAAGATGGGCAACAAGATACCATGAGGGGCTTGACCACACTGCCACTTGTAGGAATTTCAATCCTGCCATTTTGGGAGCAGGGAAAGCTCTACCTCCCTCCCCTTCCCCAGGCTCAGTTTCTATCACATTCTACTTACCATCTGAAAGATGAAGGTCACAGTTCCACAAATTCGCACTGCTTTATTAAAGCGGAGCTCCAGGTACTGGACAGAAACAGAATAAAAGGTATGGCATTCCTCCTGACTGCAACCCTCACAACACACAAGAGACCCAGGAACATGAGGGGTTATCTAAAGCATATCCACTCTGGACCCCCTAGATCTAGCACCTTCCTGCTCCTCCCCTAGCTCTAACCCCTCCCAGGAAGAACTGAGAAACTTGGGGCAGTTGTCTTGTCATTCATCACACTCTTCTTATTCTTAGGTGGTAGTGTCCAGCGTCCTAGCTCTCTTATATACCCTAGCCTCTTCTCCACTACTGGCCCTGGACTTCCTCTTTCTCTGCTTACCTCATAGGCACTGGTAAGATGCAAGCGGTAGAAGACGGGGATAAAGATGTGAGCAGGGATCAGTAGCCCGAGGAAGTAGGAACACCCCAGGAACCAATACTGGGTTCCAAATTGGTAGATCTCAGCTGGCCCCCCCAGGATGGCTACTGCAGACTGAAAGGTGGCCAGCAGGGACAGTGCCACAGGAAGGCAGCCCATTTTTCGGTCTGCCAACAGCAGCTCACCAACGGTATGGTGGCCCCAGCCACGGCAAGCATGATAGAGCCCAATGACCAGGGAAAGAAGCAGCAACAGGCCAAATACCACATAGTCCACAATAGAAAAGGTGGAGGTGACTGTGCTCGTGTCTGAGGTTGGGTGGAAGGGAGCTGAGGTGCTCTCCCCCACAGTCATCCTCACTGCGTCTGTGCTCTGCAGCCACTTGGTACTCTTTGGTTCTGACTCAGCTGAGCAGGTAGAAGCAAGTGGCTCCCAACTGGTTCCTGGCTCAGTCCAGGCTCACAGCCTTCCTCTTCCACTCAGTGACATGGTTCAGGGAGAGCTGCAAGAAGTCACCATTTGTGGTTTGTTTTTTTGTTTTTTGTGGTTTTTTTGGTCTTTGAGACAGGGTCTCCCTGTAGGCCCAGCTGGCCTGGAACTCACTATGTAGACCAGGCTGGCCTTGGTCTCACAGATCTATCTGCCTTTGCATCCCAGAGTGCTGGATTAAAGGTGTACACCACCATGCCTGGCTAAGAAGTCACCTTGCTAAGGGTCAAGCATACCCTGTCCTCATGGCTGTCCACCCACAGGCCTTGAACATGTCATGGTCATCAGACTTAAGGCCAGCTAGCACAATGGTGAATGCCAACAAGGCACTGGGTGGGATGGTTAGGGAGAACCAGAGAGAGAAAAAAACAGAATGAAACAGTCAGGAGATAGTAATTTGACCAGAACCTTGAATGTGCAAAGCTATGAAATTCAAGAATATTCTTCAGTTTCCACCCAAGTAGTAAAATAAAAATCAACTCTAGTCTATGTTTTTTCTTAGAATCCCTGGCCTCCATTTGTAGGCACAGACCCAGTCACTACAATGTACTGAGCCAGCAGAGCCCAGCCTGGCGCCACAGCCCAGCAGGGAAGAAGAAATGGAGACTAATAACAGCAAGTTTTCCCCTATTACCCGTGGCCTCAGTTCTACCTCTCATGACCCTCCGTGTCATGGACCCCCATAACACCAACCACCAGTGAGTTTGCCTTCATGAAAGCCCCAAGTCCCATTCAAGGCATGAGCAGATCAACCGTTGTACCCCTTTCCTAACATCCCCAACGACACTAAAGAAGCCCTGTCACTCATCTCTTAGGCTCTACTTGCCACACCAGTCAACAGTGGACCTAGCAAGAGTGGTGAGGTTCAAAAGTAAGACAGACAAGGCAACAGGGAGCCAGAGATTCAAAGGTACAGGAGCCAGAGATTCAAAGTTAGGATTTCAGAATCCCTTTGGAAAGAAGACACCCAGTCAGAGAGCTGGTAAAGTAAGGGGCACAGCAGCAGAGTGATACCATCCAGCTAGGAGCAGAGACCTACCTGGAGAAGCAATCCCTGTTCTGAGGCTGTGTCACCTGAAACTGGGCAGAGGGAGAGGGTCTGGTTCTACAAGCAGCTGAGGAGAGAGCAGAAATCGGAGTTAGGGAAAAGCATAGAAGCTATTTATTCTGGCCTCTTCAAGGAACCAATTGCTGTGATTCAAATGACCCTTATCATCTTATAAGCCCCCAACTCAGCCCTAGAAGGTCCACACTGGGGAGCAGAGTGCTCACACTCAATAGCATTCTTAGATGGATTAGGCTTTCAGCCTAAATCACTCTTGGCACCCTGTGTGCTACAGAGAACTAGAAAGGAATTGCCAAGACTGGAAAGTTACTTTTCTAACCCTACACATTCAAGAATATACCACAGTTCTCAAAAGAACAGCAATGGGATTATACTATTTCAAAGCTCAAAGAAATCTTATTAGATCACGCTTACAAGTCCCTCATTTCACATATAAGTACATAAAGGCCCAGTAACACAAGTAACCTTTCCTTTTTTTCTTTTTTTGTCTTTTTGAGACAGTCTCCCTGTAGCCCCAGCTGGCCTGGAACTCACTATGTAGACCAGGTTGGCCTTGAACTCAGCGATCCACCTGCCTCTGCCTCCCAAGTGCTGGGATTAAAGGTGTGTGCTACCATGCCCCGCACCTTTCCTTTTTTCCCTTTGCATATGCAAATATGCTTGCAGATGTGTGTAGATCTGTGAGCATGTGGAGTACACAGGTTGATGTCAGGTATCTTCCTTGATCACTCCCCACTTTATTCGAGGCAGGGCCTCTCACTGAACCATGTGGCAGACTGGGCTAATCTAACTAGCCAGCTTACCCCTGGTTACTTTGAGGGGTGCTGGGGACTGAACTCAGTTAGGCAAGCACTCTATGAGCCTCACCCACCCCTCTGAAGCCTAAAGAGAGGGGTCCTTGCAGGACCAATCACCACCGAAAGATCCCCTCCAAATCTGTCTTGCGCTGAAAATTCCTCAAGGCCTGAGAGGCTTGGGGTTTCCCATTAAAATTAAAGTTGCCAGATACTTGGAACCTGTGGGAAGGAAGCCTGGATGAACTCTGAGATGAACTTTGGTTGTCTTTGATGAGCTTTAGCTTTGGAGGGGCTCTCACCAAAAGCACCATTGTGGGCTTGGGTGAGCCGAGAGGTCTCGGCGTCCTTCAGGACTCCTGCCACTCCGGGGAAGCGCTACCTTGCCTTGGTCCGTGGCTCCTCCGGCGCTAGGAAAGTCCCTCCATTCTTTCCCGAATCAGCATCGCTCTTTTTCTGCAAAAGAACACCAGTTAGGGAAGTATCTACCTGGCTTTGCCTTCCCGCCGGGCTCCGGAAGGCTGCGCAGAAGTAAGGTGAAGGGTACTGAGTATCCGAGGCGTTCCCAGACTCGAGTCCTCCCGCCGGCGTTTGCCCTTCGGCCCTCGATCTTCGCTCCTCCAGGACCTTATCCTCACAGTTCACCTTTTCCCTGCTCTCCACACGAGTTGACCCCACCAGCTCGCGCCAGTACTTAAGATCAAAGCCCACATGGTGGGCGGCTCGCAGCGCCCTGCCCGGAGGCGGCTTAACCCAGCCGCTCTACCGGGCCCACACCCCGCCCCGCCCGGCCCCGCCCGGCCCACCTGCGGGATCTCCACACGTGGGTTGCTGGCTAGCCAGGCTCCCAACGCGCGGACCGGGTGACAGCGGGGCCCCGCCCCCTGCCCGCCCGGTGGCCGCACCGCCATGTTTATTGAGGGCGGATGGAACGGCCCCGGGCCTCTGCAGAGGCGTGACCTGGGAGTCCCCGCGAAGCTGACGCAGCTTGCCGTCGGCTCCAAGGAACTGAGCTGGGAGCCGGAAAGCCTGCGCTACAGGGAGAAGTGGAGACGGGGGTGGGTCTGTCCATACAGAACGAGGACAGGGCGGCGCCGAGAGGAGCGCGGGATCTCCGCTAGCAACAGCCACCTGAAGCCGAATTAAGCCACGCCTCCAGGCAACTGCGCTAGGGCGATTGGAGCGACAGGACCTTTAAGATTAGGCCACGCCTTCAGGCGGAGGTGTGGTTCTCAGGGGGCGGAGCCTCGCGCTCACCTCTCGCGAGCTGTCAAGAAGGTTGAATCCAAGGGAAAATGGCGTCTCGGGAGCCTGGCAGTTCTGTGAGCCCAGTACCCTGGGCTGCTGTCTTGCTCTTGACTCTGGGAGTGGAAAGGGCTCTGGCTCTCCCTGAGGTACAGAAGAAAAGTTGCGATCGGGCTGATATCGGGTTATTGCCTGCTGTCGAGCTCGCTGCGGCCGTGCCCTCGCCGGCCAGCTCGGATTCCTGTCCTTACAGGATCGCGCTCCCCAGTACTCAACGCCGCGCGGGCGTCTGGCGCCCTCACCCTGCCCACGTTCAGAGACCTTTGAAATTTGATCTCCTCGCTCCTTAATCTTTGAATAACTTTACATTGTTCTTCCCACTGATGAGTCCTCTGGCTCTTCAGCAAGCTGTCGGTGCACGAATGCCTTTTACATGGTGCATTTCCTAGGATGCTTGAGTTCTTTGTGTACCTGCAGTCCTTTAACACTTGCCAACCCGTGGCTGTCAGGTTGAAAGTCCTTAGCACATGGCGTGTAGTGACTCAAAGACGGGAGAGTCTAGGCGAGGATTTGTACTGACAGTCTGGTGCGCTGATTTGGCTCCCGGCTGTAAGAGGAGAAATGACTTCTAGTCTAGACCTATAAAAGCCACTTTTCTGCCCTGTGCTACAGGAATTCCGGAGAATGTACTGACAATTAGCTCTTGATCCTTGTTTGTTCTTGTTTTTCTTTTTTCTTTCTAGTCTTGATAAGGTTTATTTCTCTTCTGCAGATATGCACTCAGTGCCCGGGAAGTGTGCAAAATTTGTCCAGAATAGCTGTTTATTGTAAGAAGACATCGGAGTTAATGAAGGGCCGCTGCTGCATGAATGAGAAGGGCACCATCTTGGGGTGAGCGAGGAGACATCCTTAGATACTCAAGAGTTCCCACACCAGAGTCTACAGGGTTTTAATTGGCTTTGGGGATAAATACTGGTGCCTACCTGGAGGCATCTAACGCTTGATTCTATAACTTTTAAATTTGTTATAGCATTTTTTTTCTAGGTAAATGATCTTATGGTTCTTCCTGGATGACACTTCTTAGGAGTCAGTTTTGGCCAATTTTATAGATCTTTTATAGCGTTTTAAAATAGTTTTATAATCAGGTCTTTGGATGATTTTTTTATTAGGATACATTTTCTATAACTTATTTATTTAAGTGTTAGGGACTAAACCTAGGACCCTGTGCATGCTACTCAAGTACCCTACCACTAAACTATATCCTCAGCCCTTTTTGGTTTGTTTGGCTTGTTTTGCTCCTTTTTTTTTTGTCTTTGTTGGTTGGTTGGTTAGGTTTTTGAGATAGTATCTCACTATGTAGCTCTTTCTGATCTGAAACTTGATATGTAGACCAGGCTAGCTTGGAACTCACAGAGAGCCTCCGGTTTCTGCCTCCCAAGTGCTGTGCACCACCACACCCAGCAAGTTATATATTTTATACTGTTGCAGTTTGTTTTGAATTTTTTAAAAAAATTACTTATTTTTCTTTTATATGTATGAGTGTATTTCCTGAATGTATGTAAGTGCACCCATACACCCACAGAGACCAGAAGAGGGTGTTGGATCCCCCCGAACTAGATTTATAGATTGGTTGTTAGCTACTATTCGGGTGTTGGAACTTGAACCTAGGTCCTCTGGAAGAGCAGCAGTGCTCTTAGCTGAGCTATCTCTCCAGCCGCTACTTTTTTTTTTTTTTTTTTTTTTTTTTTTTTTTGATTCCCTGTAGTCCCAGCTGACCTGAACTCACTATATATAGACCAGGCTGTCCTTGAACTCACAGAGATCTGCCTGTCTCTGCCTCCTGAGTGCTGAAACTTAAGGTGTGTACCACCATACCCAGCCAGCCTCTACTCTTAACTCAGTAAATGAAGAAAAATTCTTCTATGGTCCTTAATATACAGGAGTTTACAATTAGTTTGTTATAGGAAATGCATTTGGAAAAAACTTTTAAATAATTTGCTTTTTTTTTCCAATGTAAAAATCTCTGTGGCTGGACCTAGTGATATGCATCTGTAATTTCTGTTAAGGTTCAGATAGCCTTGCCCCCTCACCAGCAGGGTCTCAGGGACTTCTCAAGCTCCTGAGAAAAGGGAACTGAGCTGATAAGCACCCTGTCTTTGAAGTCTAGAGAAGCAGACTTTTCTCCACTGTTTGGCCAACACAGCAGGCTTCCCCTTTGATCTCTAAAGACAACAGGTTTTAACAGTCCCACCCCCCCCATGCCTAACTTAAAAAAAAAAAAAAAAAAAAACATCTTCCCGCCTTCTATAGGAAGCAGAAGCCTCCTCCCTTAAAAAAGACCTCAGCTCACTACCTGGGCAGATATTTTCCCTGCCTGGAAGGGAATCTTTCCCATGTGTTCCTTTGCTAATAAACTCTTTTCTGATGGAGTTTTATCTGTGTCCTGGTGCTTCCCTAGATCAACCCTATTTGTCCTAGCTACTTTTTATCTATCAGATGGTGCCGAAACCCGGTTCTTAGGAGTTCAAGGTCACCCTCAGCTACATAGTGAGTTTTAGGCTACCCTGGGTTACGTTGTAACTTTGTCTCAAAATAAGTAAATAAATAGGCCACATGTGGTGATGCATACCTTTAATCCCAGCACTCAAGAGGCAGAGGCAGGTAGATCTCTGTGAGTTTGATTTAGGGAACAAGACCCTGTCTCGAAAAACAACAAGAAAAATACACACACACAAATAAATAAATGAATAAATAAATAAATAAATAAATAAATATTTTAGTGGAGATGGGATGATATAATTCCAGCACTTGAGAGACTGAGGCAGGAGGATTATCACAAGTTCAAGACTAGCCTGGGTTATACAGTGATAATCAAACAAAACAAAATCTGTGGAACTGTGGCTGTGGCTCAATGATAGAGTACTTGCCTAGAATGCATGAGGCCCTGGGTTCAGTCCCCAGTAGCAACAATAAAAAAACCTAACTCTGAGAATCATAATACGAAGTTTACTAATCTAGCCAAAAATATGAACTTTCTTCTAATATATGCACAGCACATAGATATACTGATTAGAACAGTGTGGCCCAAGAGATGGAATCTTCTATACCTCTACTGATCAACATAGTAGCCAGGAATGTATTTCATAAGTATTTGAAATGTGACTGAGGGGATGAAACACTGAACTTTTTGGTAAACTAAGGTACTCACATGTAGCTAGTGTTAACTAGACTGGATAATACACGAGTACAATGTCTACTACCATAGCACTTCACTTGTAATTCTAAATATAATGCTGTTCCATTGATAGTAACTTAAATGGGAGGGGCATGTTTACACAATCAAATACAAACCTTGCCATGGATGGAAAAGAGACATAGTTATACTAATTACCTTATTTCTTTCAGGCTGGATCTCCAGAACTGTTCCCTGAAGGATCCTGGTCCAAACTTTACCCAAGCTCTTACTGCTGTTATCATGTAAGTGGTTAGGTTCCTTTCTGCCCAGAGGGTAAATAGGTAATGGGTAAGTCGTTAGAGATGAACTCTTAGAAAAGTAGATGAATATTATAGTGTCTAAGCCTGTACAATTCAGTGTAAGGATTGAACAGTCCAATAAAGCATGTATGAAGGTAGTGTGCTTTTCTGAGCAGAGTACTAACTTTATGTGCTTTGCAGAGACCTTCAAGCTAATCCTCTCAAGGACAACTTAACCAACACCTTCCGTGGCTTTACCCTGCTCCAGACTCTGTGAGTAGTAGAGTGGGGAAGAACTCAGCAACTTTGAGAGTGTGTGTGTGTGTGTGTTGGAGACTTCATGAACCTTGGCCTCGTGCATTGTTAAATATGCTGCACTCCTAGTCCCTCCAGCCGCACATTATGACCACCTTTGTTATCTTCAGGATACTGCCACAAGATGCCACCTGTCCCGGAGGTATTAATGCCTGGGAAAGTATTACCTCTTATGTTGACAATCAAATTTGCCAAGGGCAAAAGGACCTTTGCAATAGCACCAGAATCCCAGGTATGCCTTCTTATGTCCACCCTTCCAAGAAATCCTTTTCCTCGCTTTTTTCTCGACTTTAGAAAGAAGCTTAGGTGCCTTTTTTTCCAGAGTTTTGGGACTCTAGACCCTTGGAAAGTGAAGGTCTTAATAATTATTATTGTTACATTTTGATTATTTGTAATTTTATTTCCTCTACTTTGGACCTAGAAATAATTAAGAGAATCTAAGTTGAAGCAGATGTTCTAGAAAAAATAATGAAATCCAGTGATTTTCTCTCATTCTAGTATTAACCAGACTCGACTCTTTAACTTCTGAGATCAGAGATCAGGATGTGTACTCTAGTGATGGTCTCTCTTTTTCTCTGGCTCACCAGAAATGTGTCCTGAGAATGGATCTTGTGCACCTGATGGTCCTGGGCTTTTGAAGTGTGTTTGCCCTGATGGTTTCCAGGGATACAAGTGTATACGGCAGGTGAGGAATTGGATCTTTTAGGGATAAGGGAATGCTTTAGGCAAGAACCCGTCAGAAAGACAAGACAAAGACAGACGCCAGTTATCTAGTGAGGGAAACTCCAGGGGAATTGCCCAAGATCGGGAGAGGTTATTAGGAAAGCACTAGATGTTAGAATGTAGCCCTGTGTGTGATGTGACATCTGCTTGTTAATCACAGGGCTCCTTCCCCATGCTTATGTTCTTTGGGATTCTGGGCTCCATCACGCTATGCATCTCCATTCTGCTATGGGGAACCCAGCGCCAAAAAGCCAAGGCTTCATGAACAGCATAAGACTTCCTGCTGACCTGAGATCACCTTGAACTTCTCAGCCCAGCCAGGGAGATTCGCTTCCTTAGCCGGCATTACTGCCAGCGGATCCTCAAGGTTGAAGCTGCCGTTTTTAATGAAAGAAGTAAAACTGCACCGCCTTGGGGTCCTGTGGACACTGGGTTAGAAGCGGACTAGTACCTGTTTGTATTATTGTCTACAATAAACACTTTTTTTTATTTTTCTTTTTCTTTTAGAAATAGTGCCCTGACTCTGCGTGTTTCTTGTTTGGGGGCTGCTTCGGGGAAATCGCGGTTTTCAGGTCTATGGTCCTGCGCAGCGAGATGCTGAGGACCCACCCCGTGGCCCCGCCCCTTACGTGCCCGGCCCCTCCCCTCACGCTGCCGGCTGCTCGCGCCGTCGCAGTGGAGCAGTAGTCTTGTGCGCTCTGGTTCCCGCTTGCCTCGCCCGCCTGCTCCGCGCCGCAGCGAGCCACGTGGACCAACTCCGGCGTGCGGTGCTCGGGTGGTTCCAGGGGGGCTTGCCGCGCCTCCCGTGTCTCGGTGCTCGCGCCGCCTCCGCTCCTACCCCATGGCGGCCCTAGTGTTGGAGGACGGGTCGGTGCTGCAGGGCCGGCCCTTCGGGGCTGCTGTGTCGACTGCTGGGGAAGTGGGTAAGCAAGCCTGGGCGGGCTGCCAACCTCATCCCCTCGGATGCCCCTCTCTGCTCAACCCGCTCTGCCCAGACCCCACCTGCACATTCCTTCCCCATTCGGTGCCCCGGGTCCCAGCCCCCTTTCATCCCTCAGACCGAGGCAGGCAGCCTCCAATGGGATCTGCTGCGCGTGGGGCAGTGTTCCGAAGAGTGCCCTTGCCGGAACTCAGCCCAGCCCCTCTCTGCAGTGTTTCAGACCGGCATGGTCGGCTACCCAGAGGCCCTCACTGACCCGTCCTACAAAGCTCAGATCCTAGTGCTCACATACCCTCTGATCGGCAACTACGGCATTCCCTCAGATGAAGTGGACGAGTTGGGCCTAAGCAAGGTAGTTCTCACCCATTCCTCCTCAAATCAGAAGTTAGCTGTCGGTGAAATGACAGCACTGACAGCCTGCTAGGCATCCTGGAGAAAGCAAAGCCATAAGTACCAAGGCGACTGTGGTTAGGTAGGGGCTTTTAGTTACCTTGAAAGGCAGAGTGCTGGAGGCCTCAGGGGAGTACACCCCTTGGAGAGTGTGTCCAATGAAGGCGTGGTTCAGGGAAATGGCAAAGGGTTTATGGGAACGGTTATCCCAATGTCTAGGAATGCAATTTCTGGTTTACTTTCATAAGGACCCAGTGGAGGAGATTTTTTAGTAGCAGAGTCATGGGAGCAAAGAAAATGCTTCAGGATTACATAAATTGGTGGGAAAGAGACTGGAGACAAGGGTCACATCCTTTCTAGTGGCGGTGGGGTACTAGGTCACCTACAGTACCAATCACTGATTCTCATCTCTCCTTATGTTGCCTTGTTTTCATTTTTCTGCTTCTCAATTGTGTTTTTACCTTTAGGTTAGAAAACTCTAAACGCTTCTACAGTGAGGTTCTCCCTGTTCTGTCTGTGGAATTTGGAAATTAAGTTGCCCACTGAGAGTTCAAGTGCAAAAATCAACACATGGCTGTTAAGATAATAATAGAGGTCACCATAGCCTAGATTCAGTATTCCTTAAAGCTTGCTTAGTCCTGATTTCAGGCTGGTGGAACCCTTTAGTTCCTTACTCATTTTATTTATTTTGAGGCAGGGTCTCACTGTAACACTGACTAGCCTGTAACTCACAGGGATCCATGAACCTCTGCCTCCCTGAGTTGTGGGATAAAGAAAGGTATTTACCAGGACACCTGAAGAGCCTGTAACCATTAATTTGCATTTCCAGTCATCCTGACACTGGGAAGGAGAGCCCTGGAGAAGGAGCAAGCTAATTGTTATTTTTGGAAAGAATCCCTTATCATAAACCTTATTTATTTTGGGTGTTAGTTTTTGTTTTGTTTTTTTAATATTATTTTTTGTGTGCATGTGTGTAAGTGCACCCATGTCATGCAATGTTTGTGGGGGTCAGAAGAGGGCATTGGATTCCCCTGGAACTGGAGTTACAGACGGTTGTTAGCCACCATGTGGGTGCTGGGAATTGAACCCAGGTCTCTACAAGAGCAGTCAGTGTTCTTAACCTTTCCAGCCCCTGTTTTTTTTGGGGGGGGGGCGTTGACAGGGTCTCCCTGCAGACCCAGCTGGCCTGGAACTCACTATGTAGAACAGGCTGGCCTCAGTCTCACAGAGATCCACCTGCCTCTGCCTCCCAAGTGCTGGGATTAAAGGCATGTGCCACCACATCCAGCTATCATAAACTTTTAAATACACTGCTTTCTAGTTTACAATGCAGCATCTTACAAATTTGGTTAACATGTGAGTTGTCAGTTTTAGGCACAATGACAAAACTGAAACCCCCAAAAGATCAGAATACATTGCTTTGTGTGCACTTGCGTGTATGTGTATTACTCCACCCAGCCTGGGGAGGGTCTGCCAAATGGCCTTCAGATCCCTGATGGCTCTGTAGCTCAGGTAGACCTCAGACTCAGAACCCTTCAGCCCCAGTATCTGTAGTGCTAGGATTATAGGTGTGTACCATCATGCTCAGCATGTAACTTTTTTTTTTTTTTAAACTCAGGGTCTCTCTATGTAGCCTACGCTGGTCTCAAACTTGCAAGTGTCTCTACCCCAGCAAGTGCTGGGATTAAGTGTGTATACCTTAGCTTTGAATGTAACATAATTTTGTCTAAGTTATTTATTTTTGAGACAGGATCATGTTTCTCTCTCTCTCTCTCTCTCTCTCTCTCTCTCTCTCTCTCTCTCTCTCTGTCTTGCCCTGTCTAGTCCACTACTATATAACCCAAGCCAAACTCAAACACTCAGCAATCTTCCTGTCTCAGCCTCGAAAGTGCTGAGATCACAGGCATGTGCCACTAGCCTGGCTTGAATATAATTTAAAGACCCCATTCCTCCCACAAAAACTTTCTAAGCCATTTGTGATAGCATGCTCCTTTAATCCCAGCATTCAGGAGGCAGAAGCAGGCCTGGTCTACATAGTGAATTCCAGGCCAGCCAAGGTTATAATGAGGCCTTGTCTCAAAAATAAACAAATAATGCTGGAGAGATGATTCAGTGGTTAAGAGCCCTGGGTGCTCTTGCAGAAGATCTGGGTTTGAGTCCCAATACCTACATGGTGGCTAACTACCATCTGTAACTCCAGTTCCAGGGAATCGGATGCCCTCCTCTGTCCTCCATGGGCATTGCACCACATGAGTACACTTACATGCAGGCAATACACTTACACACATAAAATAAAAATAAAAAGCAAACAAAACTTACTTCCTCTGTTTACCTATAAAATGCTTATTTTGAATAATAAATTGGTTATCTCTTTTAAATAAGACGATCTCAAAGTGGGAAAATGGTATAATCAGATCTGGTATTGTTCACTGTAGCTTTATTCTTTTAAGCTTTGCTTTTTGGTAACAAATTATGCATGTATCTTATTACTTTGTTTTTATCACACTCTGTACAGTTAGTATTTTGTGTATATATTATCTTGTTGGTATCTGGTTCCCTAAGTTGGAAATTCACACTGAAGACGAGGAGCTTATCTTTTCTTGCTTACTACCCACCCCCTCCCACCACCACCACCAACATCTGTCAACAATGCCTGCTCCTGACGAGCACTTAGTGAATGTTTGAGGATTTCAGTTTGGGGTCAGATTCAAGAACATATTCATGATGCAGTGTAAATAGCAAGAAAGTGGTGGAGATGAGGAGAGCTCTTAGGAGCACAAGCTGCAGGGGGTGAGTGAAGTTGTGCTTACCAAGAGGGCTGTTTGTGATCTCAATTCTGGATAAGGGAAATACAAAAGCATGCAGTGCTTGGTATTTTGAAGGAATGACAGGCTATTCAGTGTGGCTGAGCAAAGGGTCTGCCTCTAGACAGTGCAGGGGGGAGAAAGGGCATGCCTTAGAGGAAACAGTTGGCTGGCCCTGAGCACCTCAACAGTCTCCTCTTTCCATCTTATAGTGGTTTGAATCCTCAGAGATCCATGTGGCAGGGCTTGTTGTGGGAGAGTGCTGTCCCACGCCCAGCCACTGGAGCACCGCCTGCACCCTGCACGAGTGGCTACAGCAGCATGGCATCCCTGGCCTGCAAGGTATGAGGGCAAGCACTGGGATGTCTGGGCAAAGCACAGGGTGCCTAGATGGGAAGAATCAGGAGGTTGCTGAAGTCTGTTGGAACCTACCTGAGTCTAAGGTTGTAATATAAGATATGTAAAGTTCAGATTGTGGAGGACACTAAACTATTGCTCAGAAGGAAAAATTCAAAAAAAACTAAACTCTCAACTCCTTGTTTGTGTATTTAAATCTGACTTTAAGCAAGTGTGTACATGATTTTTGGTCAATAAGTATCTGAAAAGTAGCTGTGCTTAACCACTGTGCTACCAATACAGACATATCTTAATACATATAGGAGATAGGTCTTGTAACTATTTTATGAAAAGAGGTCATTTTTCCTCAGGCGTATTGATCACGTAAGTCTCCATTTTCTTAGTTTGGTTTGGTTTTGGTTTTTTGAGACAGGGTCTCATATATCCCTGGCTGACCTCAAACTCATTGTGTAGCTGAAGATGACCTTGAACTCCTGATCCTCCTGCCTCCCACTTCCCAAATGCTAGGATAACAGGTGTGCACCACCTTGCCTAGCTCATTTTCTTATCCCTGTAGTGTCAGTTAATGTGTTCATTTTTCCTCTTAAAATTCTTTTCAGTAACTCAACTGATCTCGAGTCATGGTTCAATTTGGGTGAGATATTTTGAGCAAGATTACTTTGTGGCAGTGTCCTATCAAGATGGCCCAGGATTTTGTTGCCCATAGAACAGTTATGTTTGACTCAGGGCTGTGGAATGGAAGTGCTATTGGAAGTCTAACCTCACTGATGGACTGAGTTGGGGGAATGTGATCTCTGAGGCTATGCTGTTTTGACAGGAGTGGACACTCGGGAACTGACTAAGAAGTTGCGGGAACAAGGATCTCTGCTAGGGAAGCTGGTCCAGAATGGGACAGAGCCTTCAGCTCTGCCATTCTTGGACCCCAATGCCCGGCCCCTGGCCCCAGAGGTCTCCATTAAGGTACAGAGGGAGAGTAGGAAAGTTTTGCAAGCAGCAGCCCAGTGGTTCTTTTTCTCCCAACAACTGGGGTAAACACTCAAGGGCCTCAAAGGTAGGGGTGGTGTGAGCATGCCTTAACACTTGCTGTCATAGCTGCCAACTGTTGCTCTTTATTCCTCAGACTCCACGGGTATTCAATACAGGGGGTGCCCCTCGGATTTTTGCTTTGGATTGTGGCCTCAAGTATAATCAAATCCGATGTCTCTGCCAGCTTGGGGCTGAGGTCACTGTGGTACCCTGGGACCACGCCTTAGACAGTCAGGGTGAGTATCTGGGACCTGTCCAGGTTAGCAGCGTGGGTTTGAGTGGAATAACCACCAGTACAGTTGCTGCAAATCAGTATGAGTTGCTGGAAAGAAAATGAAGGCCTCTGCTTGCATGGTCAGGGGTGTGGGTATATTTTTGTTGTTGCGGATGATTTTCAGGAGTCAGTTCTGTCCTTCCACCATGAGTTCTGGGGATTGAATTCAGGTCATTACACCGGCACAGTAAGCACTTTTACCTACTGAGCCATCTTATCAGCCCTTGGGTATCTTTTTGAAAACCTGCTTTTTTGTTTTGTTTTGTTTGGTCTTTTTGAGACAGGGTCTCCCAGTAGCCCCAGGTGTCCTGGAACTCACTATGTAGACCAGGCTGGCCTGGAACTCACAGAGATATGCCTGCCTCTGCCTCACAAGTGCTGGGACTACAGGCGTGCACCACCACACCTGGCGAAATCCTGTTTTTTATGTCATCCTTTCTGCCCATTCCAGAGTATGATGGTCTCTTCTTGAGCAATGGACCTGGTGATCCTGCCTCTTATCCCAGTGTGGTAGCCACACTGAACTGTGTCTTATCTGAGCCTAATCCCCGACCTGTCTTTGGGATCTGTCTGGGGCATCAGCTGTTGGCTTTAGCCATTGGAGCCAAAACGTACAAGATGAGGTGAGTCTTGTGGGGGAGGAAGGGGTCACCCTTGGAACACAAGGGAAGAATGGAGTATCTGGGGAGTTGGAGATTATTGATGTGGAGATAGGAGTGGGGCTAGCAGGAACAGTGAAATCTAAGAGAGCGGAGTCTGGTGTAGTAGGGAAGAGGGTGGTGGATGTGGCCTGTGACTCAGCATGCTTCCATTCTCCAGATATGGAAACCGAGGTCATAACCAGCCCTGTTTATTAGTGGGGTCTGGGCGCTGCTTTCTCACGTCCCAGAACCATGGGTTTGCTGTGGATGCAGATTCACTACCAACAGGCTGGGCTCCTCTATTCACCAACGCCAACGATGGCTCCAATGAAGGCATTGTACATGACAGCCTGCCCTTCTTCAGGTGAGCCTGGGAGTATGGCAGGGTGACTAGGGGCCTTGAAGATAGTAAGCACTGGCCCTTAATCCTTTGACATTGCTGGTACTGTGCCAATGATGTGGAAGCCTTGGTCATGCGCTTTCTCTTCTTCAATAGCGTCCAGTTTCATCCAGAGCACCGAGCTGGCCCTTCAGATATGGAACTGCTTTTTGATATCTTTCTGGAAACTGTGAGAGAGGCTGTAGCTGGGAACCCTGGGGGCCAGACAGGTAAACCCATCACTAGAAATAGGATGTGAACCTAAAGACAGGACTGACTCCAGGACAAGTCTAAGATGGACATGCCCTGGATCTCTTGGTATGGGGGGGATCGGGGGGCAGTGGTAAAGGGAGGAAAGACAACCAAGCTTGAGCAATATGCTGCTTCTATAGAAACTCCAGAGTTAGGATTCTTGGGTTCTCATCTTCTCTGCCACTCTGGACTCTACTGAAAGTAAGGAGTCTAATCCAGGTGGCTCCTGGGGTCCCACTCACTCTGAGCCATGTTCCATAGCTTTCCTTGTCTCCACAGTTCGAGAACGGTTGGCTCAGCGCCTCTGTCCCCCTGGGCTTCCTGCCCCTGGTTCTGGACCTCCACCTCCACGAAAGGTTCTGATCCTAGGTTCAGGAGGCCTCTCCATTGGCCAAGCTGGAGAATTTGACTACTCGGGCTCTCAGGTAAAATGTGACCATTGCCACCCATCAGTGTGTCACCTGCAGAGTCTGAAGAAAGACTAAGGCATGAGCACTGGTTGCAGGGAGGAAGTGGGCGTACAGATGCATGAGGCAGTGAAGGACAGAAGTCATGTATTAGGGACTGAGAGAGCAGGGAGGGAAGGAAGAGAAGCACTGCAGAGGAAGCTGATAGGCCATTTTTGTCTTCTTAGGCAATTAAGGCCCTAAAGGAAGAGAACATACAGTCTTTGCTGATCAATCCCAACATTGCCACCGTACAGACCTCTCAGGGGCTGGCAGACAAGGTCTATTTCCTTCCTATAACACCTCACTATGTAACTCAGGTATGACTGGAGTAAGGGTGGACTGATGCGGGGACTCTCCATGGGAAGGAGTTTCAATCTGTTCTCTCCCCTTAAAGTCTTAATGCCTTTGACTCCCACCTCCTGCCTCAGGTGATACGTAATGAACGCCCAGATGGTATATTACTGACTTTTGGTGGCCAAACAGCCCTGAACTGTGGTGTAGAACTGACCAAAGCTGGGGTGCTAGCTCGGTATGGAGTTCGGGTCCTGGGCACACCCGTGGAGACCATTGAGCTGACTGAGGATCGACGTGCCTTTGCTGCTAGGATGGCTGAGATCGGAGAGCATATAGCCCCCAGTGAGGCAGCAAATTCTCTTGAACAGGTTTGTGAGGTGCTTGGGTAGAAGCAGAACACTGTCCTCTTCTTTGCATCTTATTTCCTGTAGGTTCTGGCACTCCCTGGGCAGTAGTAATAACTCGTTGATTCATGTCTTTGCCCACTGCAGGCCCAGGCGGCTGCTGAAAAGCTGGGCTACCCTGTGCTAGTACGTGCAGCCTTTGCTCTAGGTGGCCTTGGCTCTGGCTTTGCCTCTACCAAGGAGGAACTCTCAGCTCTTGTGGCCCCAGCTTTTGCGCATACCAGCCAGGTGCTGATAGACAAATCCCTAAAGGGCTGGAAGGAGATTGAGTATGAGGTGGTGAGAGACGCCTATGGCAACTGTGTGACGGTGAGTGATGGAGCACAATGTGGTCTAGGACTAGGCATTCTAAGTTTTTGCCAGAGCAGGGGCAGAGATCTCTGAAGGTTCTGTGTCCCTCAGACCCAGGTTAGAATAGTCTCAGACATTACAGGACCTGGGGGTATGTAGCTGCTTCACTCTCCTGATTTCCCTTGGTGGTGGCTTCTGTGACAACCTTCATAGGTATGTAACATGGAGAACTTAGACCCACTGGGCATCCACACTGGTGAGTCCATAGTAGTGGCTCCAAGTCAGACATTGAATGACAGAGAGTACCAGCTTCTGCGACGGACAGCTATCAAGGTTACCGAGCACCTGGGCATTGTTGGGGAGTGCAATGTGCAGTATGCCTTGAACCCGGAGTCTGAGCAGGTGAGGCTATGGAGCTGATACTACAGCTATTACCTTGTCCTGGGCCTCAGGGTTAAGAGGTCTTTTGGCCCTGCCCACTCTAGAGTAGAAGCCAGGATTATCTTTGGTAGGGTTAAGCCTTGGGGAGGACCCTTTGACTCTATCCCCATAGGGAAGTTATCTTTCCTCCTGAGATCTTTTCTAAGCAGGAGCTTCTAGGATGGGTACCAGTGACTCTTTTTCTGTTTTCCCTGTTTGCAGTATTATATCATTGAAGTGAATGCCAGGCTCTCCCGCAGCTCCGCCCTGGCCAGTAAGGCCACAGGCTACCCACTAGCCTATGTGGCAGCCAAGCTAGCTTTGGGCATTCCCCTGCCAGAGCTCAGGTACAAGGTGGGGGAGTCCTGGTGGTAAGGTGTGGGGAGAGGGAGGACTCAAGAAAATATTCATAGGTCAAGGACTTGAAAGGACAGTAGCTTGGATTTGTGGAGATGGAGAGCTATCTGGAAGCTCAGTCTTTCTGCTCCTCTCTGTCCCTCTGGCATCTCCGCCTATTCGTGTTCCAGGAACTCTGTTACTGGGGGAACAGCAGCCTTTGAACCCAGCCTGGACTACTGCGTGGTGAAGATTCCTCGCTGGGACCTCAGCAAGTTCCTGCGTGTCAGCACAAAGATTGGGAGCTGCATGAAGAGTGTTGGTAAGCTTCTTGTCCCAAGTTACCCACACACAGAGTGCCACCAGGACCAACAGTCCAAGCGTCCAAGTTGCCTGGAGTGCCCTGAAGTTCGTGGCTCCTTTGTTAGCGGTGGCTCAGAAATGTGGTTTCCCAGAACCAATAGATATATTTCAAGCTCCCTCTCAGGAGCAGGGGTTAAAGTCATCTGGAAATCTGTGCTGGAATACGGTCCCTGGGAACAGACTGTTTTTTAAACAAATGAGTAAATGGAGGGGCCCAAGGGGGAAAGTGACTTATCTGAGGGTCCACAAAGGATTAGTGGGTTGAATCAGGAACCAAGAGCTAGATCTGGTTCCTAGTTGCATGCCCTATCTTCACTACATCACCAGTCATCTGTAAGACCAGTTCCGTTTGAACACAGCACCTCATCCTCTTGGCATTTTGCCCACAGCCTCATTAGGTTGATAATACCAGTAACATTTTGTTCACTATTTAAATATTTATTCTGTAAACACTTATTAATTAAAAAAATGTATATATTGTCTGTGTGCAGGAGTACACATGTGCTATGGTGCACGTGTGGAGGTCAGAGGACATTTTTGTGGAGTCAGTTCTCTCTACCTTTACATGAACCTCTTCTAAATCTGAATCAGTTTGGTGCTAGTCATTCCTAGCTTACCTCCTCTGGCACCTGGTGATGTGGTAACTAGATGAGGAGGAATTGGTTGGTTTGTGTGTGTGTGTGTTTGTTTGTTTGTTTGTTTGTTTGTTTTGAGATGGTTTCCCTGTAGCCCCAGATGGCCTGGAACTCCTTATGTAGACCAGGCTGGCCTTGAACTCAGAGATCCGCTTGCCTCTGCCTCCCAAGTGCTGGGATTAAAGATGTGTGCCTGGCTGTTTGTTTCTTTAGACAAGGTTTCCCTGTAGCCCCAGCAGACCTGGAACACACCATAATGTTGATCAGACTGACCTCGATTTCCCAGGACTCCACCCAACTCCACTCACCTCTACCTCCCGAGGGCTGGGGCTGGAATCAAAGGTGTGCGCCACCACACCAGACCCTAAATGAAGTTTTGTTTTTGTTTTCAAAAGTGTTAAGATCAGAGCAAGAAGTCAAAGATCTTTGTATTGCAAGGAGCTTTATCCAGGGGTGGTGGTACACACCTGTAATCCCAGAATTTAGAAGGCTGAGAAGGAGGATTGTGGATTCAAGAGCAACCTGAGTTACATAGTGAGTTCTAGGCCAGCCTAAGCTATAAGAGCAAGACCCTGTCTCCAAAACAAAGGACCACCGGAGCATTTTAGAGCATTATCAGTGATCGTAAATGGGTATCACAGTCATTACCATGCAGTGGTAGAACAAGCTACAATTCAGTTGATGTGCTCTGTCCCTGTAGTGAGTGGCCTTAGACTGTCCTCTAAAACATGTCATCCAAGACAAGCCTGTATATGTACTAGTTCAAGTGCCACCAGCTTATTTAGATAAGCATTTCACTGTGCTCCAAATTTCCATTTAAAGCAGAAGTGGTCGTTAAACAAGTAAGTCTGAGCTCAGATATTACTTCAGAATTTTTAGAAATCCTACAAGACTGCCAAGATGTTCCTTCTGGAGATGAATTTCTGTTATATGAAAATTATAATAAACATGGGAATGAAGCCATAATTAAATTATGGCTAAAAGAAGTGGATTGAAAATAGGACAAAGATTGATTCCTAGCTGAGATTTTTAAATGTTTTGCATCCCTAGAGTCTTCTTGGAATGCCATGGCCTTTGGTAACTTTTTGTAACTTCATTTTTGTTTTTGGTTTTTTTTTCGTTGTGTTTTTTTGTTTGTTTTTGAGTTGAGTCGCCTTTTGCTATGTAACCCTGGCATGGCCTGCTGGACTATATACTCCAGACTCTGGCCTCAAATTCATGGTACTCCTGCCTTGGCCTTAAGATTATTAGGAAAAATCACTGAAAATGGCTACTTCTACTTAGAAGGTTGGTTACATTTATACCTTTCTTTGTATTGTAAACCATAAACTATGAAGCAATTGATACTTAGCAAGGGCTGTGTTACTTATTACCCTGGCACTTCTGGGAATTTGTTCTAAGGAGGTCACCTAAAACACACCACCACAGCTTCACTTACAATGATCCACCCTTAAAAACTAAATGTCAATAGTAACTTGGCAGTTAAAGTATTGGAAAGCATAAGGAATTAACATGGTACTTATGAGGTTGCATGGATTATGGGGAAGTACTTATGATGAGAAAGGAAATGGAACATATATGTATACTATAAAATTATAATCATGCATAAAATCATGTATAAAACCGAAGTGTGAAAAGTCCAGGAAGAAAACCTCAAGTGCTGTGTGTGTGTGTGTGTGTGTGTGTGTGTGTGTGTGTGTGTGTGTGTGCAGGTTTAAGTGCATGGGTATGTGAGGAGGCCAGAGGACAACCTCAGGTACTGTCACCTTTTTTTTGGAGCTGAAACTTCTCAAGTAGGCTAGGTAGCCTCGTAGGCTGGCTGATAGGCCAGCAAGCTCCAGGGATCTGACTGCCTCCACCTTCCTAGTTCTGGGATTACAAAGCCTGTACTACCACACCCAACTTTTGCATGGGTTACCAACTGTGCTATCTCTCCAGCCCCTCAAATCCTTTTTAAATAAAATTGGCTGTAGATTCAAAGAATAGTAGGATTATCTTCCTATTATCCAAACTTTGTAATGCTCTGAAGGATGAAACATTCCAGATGGTGCCATCATGGTGTGAATAAAGCAAGCCAAATAACTGGACAGCCATCAGTGGTTCAGGTTGCTGCTGTAAACTATAACAATTTCCAGTATCCACATCCCCATTTTAGGCATGCTAATTCCATCTTCACTCAGCACAGAGTCTGTGCTTGTCTATGAAAGTGGTTGGGAGAAGAGCTATAGGCTTTCAGATTACTCGATAGTGAAACACCATGAACCTCACCACTATGAGGCTTGCCTTGAGAACCTACCAGAGAGTTGAGTATAAAATCTATGAGTGAGGGGCTGGAGAGATGGCTCAGTGGTTAAGAACACTGACTATTCTTGCAGAAGACCCAGGTTCAAATCCCAGCACCCACATGGCAGCTAACAACTGTAACTCCAGTCCCAAGGGATCCAACAGCCTCTTCTGTCCTCCGCAGGCATTACACGACATGGGTGCACTTAACCTACATGCAGGCAATACACGCACACACATAAAATGAAAATAATAAATTTTTTTTTTTTTTAAATCCATGAGCGAGGGCTAGAGAGATGGCTCAGTGGTTAAGCGCTCTAGCTGCTCTTACAGAGGACCTAAGTTTGATTACTAGCTACCACTTGGCAGCAAATAACCTTTAGTAACTCCAGCTCCAGAGGAATTCAGTTCCCTTTTCTGACCTCCATGGGCATTGCACAACACAGGTGCACTTACATGCAGGCAATACACTCATACACCAAAAATAAAAATAATAAGGGCTGGAAAGATGGCTCAGTGGTTAAGAACACTGGCTGTTCTTGCAGAAGACCTGGGTTCGAATCCCAGCATCCACATGGCAACATCTCTCCATAACGCCAGTTCCAAGGGATCCAATGTCCTTTTCTGACATCTGCAGGCATTGCATGACGTGGGTGGACTTACACACATGCAGGCAAAACACTCATAACACATAAAATAAAAATAATAAAAATATTTTTTAAAAATTAGTGCGCATGCTGGACACACATGCACACACCACCCTCACTTCTTCCATCCTTTTCCTCCAGGTGAAGTCATGGGCATTGGGCGCTCATTTGAAGAGGCCTTCCAAAAGGCCCTGCGTATGGTGGATGAGAGCTGTGTAGGCTTTGACCACACAGTGAAGCCAGTCAGTGATGTGGTAAGTAAGCAGCTCTCCTCTCTAACAGCATCCCTAATGTGGAGCATGCTCCTCTGCCCCCAGGCCAGAGCTTGTTGACAATAACACTAGCAACAGTCACTTAATGGACATTTGCTGTTTCTTGCTTTGTTAAGAATTGAGATGTTGGGGCTGGAGAGATGGCTCAGTGGTTAAGAGCATGGCTGCTCTTGTAGAGGTCCCGGGTTCGATTTCCAGCACCCACGTGGCAGCTAACAACGGTCTGTAACTCCAGCTCCAGGGGAATCCAACACCTTCCTCTGACCTCTGTGGGCACTACATGACATGGGTGCACTTACATACACGCAGGCAATACACTCATACACTAAAATAAAAATTAAAAAAAATTTTTTTTTAATTGAGATGTTGCCTCATGATTTTGAGGCGATTGTATTGGACTTGTTTTTACAAATGAGGAAACCGAGACTTAGAATAGTTATAGAAATTGTTCTTAGCCACACAACCAATGGGAGGCAGAACCAGGGTTTATATAATCCAGATTTTGAGTTACACATACAGTTTCCCTTGCCTGACACAATGGCACATTCAGACCCTTAGGACTTCAGTGGTGCACATGTGACAGTAGATCACAGCAGGCACACCTCTTACTAAGGCCGTATTTGCTTAATGTTTGGACCTCTCCTACCTCTGCACATTGCTGTATCCCTCAGTCTGCTCTCTCCCCATCAGGAGTTGGAGACACCAACAGATAAGCGGATCTTTGTGGTGGCTGCTGCTTTGTGGGCTGGTTATTCAGTAGAGCGCCTATATGAGCTCACACGCATCGACTGTTGGTTCCTGCACCGAATGAAGCGCATCATTACACATGCCCAGTTGCTGGAACAACACCGTGGACAGCCTTTGTCCCAAGACCTGCTACACCAGGCCAAGTGCCTTGGCTTCTCAGACAAACAGATTGCCCTCGCAGTTCTGAGGTCAGAGATGGCGGTGAGGGCCTCGAACCAAGAAATGTGGGACAGGGAGCTTTTGAATCAGGAAGGGCCTTTGGTGGGGAGCTTTGGTGGTTCTTACCTTCATTTATCCCTATGATATTTTCCTTTCTGATCCCTGCTCTTGCACTCACTTTGTTGGTCTGTACCCCGTTCCCACATCCCGCATTTCTGACGCTTCTCCTTCAGCACAGAGCTGGCTGTTCGCAAACTACGTCAGGAACTGGGGATCTGCCCAGCGGTGAAACAAATTGACACAGTTGCAGCCGAGTGGCCAGCCCAGACAAATTATCTGTACCTGACATACTGGGGCAACACCCATGACCTCACCTTTCGGACACCACACGTCCTGGTTCTCGGCTCTGGTGTCTACCGGATCGGCTCCAGCGTTGAGTTTGATTGGTGTGCTGTAGGCTGCATCCAGCAGCTCCGAAAGGTCTGAGAGTCCAGCTTTCCTGTAGTTTCTTTGCTCTTTTGTTTAGCCTTGTCAGTTGCTTATCCTCCTTCATCAGATCTTGACTCTTCTATTGTCTGCTGCACCTCTGTCAGTTATAGTTTGGGTTACAAACTCTCCTCCACAGACGGTCTTATGGTCTCACTACCCAAGTCTCCTTCCTAATACTTTGCCTACTTCTGTCCAAGTATGCCGTATATCTGTTCCATAGGAAGTAGGCAGACTGGCATATTGCAGTGGGGGCTTTGGTTTCATTTCTCCATGCTCTTCTCCTAATCACTAATGCGCTCCTCTCCCTATGGCAGATGGGTTATAAGACCATCATGGTGAACTACAACCCAGAGACAGTCAGCACTGACTATGACATGTGTGACCGACTTTATTTTGATGAGATCTCTTTTGAGGTAAGAGGGATGAGGGTGCTGGATACCCTGGTGGAACTAGCTGAGCAGCCCAAGCTTCTTTGGGACTTGGTGGGGATGAAAGAAGCAGCAAGCAAGAAGGCTCAGTCCCAAGTCCTTTTGTTGCCACCATCTGTTTCTTCCCTTGCCCTACAGGTGGTGATGGACATCTACGAGCTGGAGAACCCTGAAGGCGTGATCCTGTCCATGGGTGGGCAGCTTCCCAACAACATGGCCATGGCGCTACATCGGCAGCAGTGCCGGGTGCTGGGCACCTCCCCTGAAGCCATCGACTCAGCTGAGAACCGATTCAAGTTCTCTCGGCTCCTAGATACCATTGGTATCAGCCAGCCTCAGTGGAGGGAGCTCAGTGACCTAGAGGTAGACTGGGGCCTGGCAGGGAGCCTAGAGGCTGGATGTTGTTTATAGGTGAGTGTGACCAACCCCGTCTCCCTTAGTCTGCTCACCAGTTCTGCCAGACTGTGGGGTACCCCTGTGTAGTGCGCCCCTCCTATGTGTTGAGTGGTGCTGCCATGAATGTGGCCTACACTGATGGGGACTTGGAGCGCTTCCTGAGCAGTGCAGCAGCTGTCTCCAAGGAACATCCTGTGGTCATCTCCAAGTTCATTCAGGAGGCAAAGGTGAGAAGTCCCCTAGCCCCAGAGAAAGCTCTGTTCTGTTGAATCATAGGCACAATGGGCTGGGAAGGGTAAATTTTGTCAATGCTGTAACATAAAGGGAGCCTCCTAAGGGAAGGGTAACAGGAGGAGAAAATGGCCTTGTCCAAATCCCACTGTCTGTTTCTACCTGTAGGAAATTGATGTGGATGCAGTGGCCTCTGATGGTGTAGTGGCAGCCATTGCCATCTCTGAGCACGTGGAGAATGCAGGTGTGCATTCAGGTGATGCCACACTGGTGACCCCCCCACAAGACATCACCCCCAAAACTCTGGAGCGGATCAAAGCCATTGTGCATGCTGTGGGCCAGGAGTTACAGGTTACAGGGCCCTTCAATCTGCAGCTCATTGCCAAGGTAATAAGTTTAAAGGAAGGGACTGGAAGCCTGCAGTTCCTCCATTTTCTGTGCTGGCCCCAGTACCATGGAGCCCTGCAATGTCTCTTACCCTCATCCATGTAGGCAGCAAAGCTAGGGAAGGGGTCATTTCTAGAGCCTGCAGCAGTATCAGGGCTGGTAACACCCAGGTTGGTTACTCACAGAATCAAGAGTGAGGGGAAGAGCCAAGGGTGGTTGAGCAGTATTAGCAGGCTCAGGCTACACAAGGCCTGACCCAGTATTCTCTGCCCCAGGATGACCAGCTGAAAGTTATTGAATGCAACGTGCGTGTCTCTCGCTCCTTCCCCTTCGTGTCCAAGACACTAGGTGTTGACCTAGTAGCCTTGGCCACCAGGATCATCATGGGGGAGAAGGTGGAAGCTGTGGGGCTCATGACTGGATCTGGAGTTGTAGGAGTAAAGGTAAGAGGGACAGGGACCCTTGAGCTAAGCATATAAATCCCCTCATAGTTACAGAAAGCACAAGTTAAAAACTACATGGTTCTGTAAACTAAAACTAAGGGCTGCTTTGTTTTATGTATGTATGTGTGTATATATACATGTGTGTGTGTATATATGTGTGTGTGTGTGTGTGTGTGTGTATGTATTTATGGTTTTTATACTACTAAGGAATTGAACCCATGGCTTCAGGCATACCAGGCAAATGCTTTACCGCTAAGCTAAGGTAGAGAGCTTAATCAGCAGATAAACCCTTATCCATGCAAGGCATTGCCTGACCAGAGGGCAATAAGATGGTCACCATGCCTTAAGTGCTAACCCTGTAGGAGGCAAAAGAAGTTTTGTCCAAAAATAGCTTTGTTATGGAACAGTCTGTGATACACCTACATTAGCAAGATATAAACCAAATGTACAAGGAGTTTAGAGACAGGAGATGCCGTTTAGAAAAGGGTGCTCTGGGAAAGCTTGGGAGAAGAGGTGGTATTGGAACAAACATCTCAACAGTCAAGATGTTCGATTGCAGAGCAGCTTAGAGATGTGTAGGGCTAGGAAATGCCAGAGTGGAGGCAGTGTAGAAGCAGTAGGGCTGTGTAGAGCATAGGCAGTGGGAAAGGCCAGCACTGCTGTGTGGGTACAACAGGGACAGGGCACCCTGTCTACCTCTCCTGCTGACACTTTGGTGCTATCTTTCCTCCTCCCTCAGGTGCCTCAGTTCTCCTTTTCCCGCTTGGCGGGTGCTGATGTGGTATTAGGTGTGGAGATGACCAGTACTGGGGAAGTGGCTGGCTTTGGGGAGAGCCGTTGTGAGGCCTATCTCAAGGCCATGCTAAGCACTGGCTTTAAGATCCCCAAGAAGAACATCCTGCTAACCATTGGCAGCTATAAGGTAACAGTATTAGAGATGGCTATCCAAGGTAGGGGGCTAGATGGCTTTTGCTTTCTGGGCCAGGGCTAACTTGCTTCTGCTTGGTTTTAGAACAAAAGTGAGCTTCTCCCAACTGTGCGGCTGCTGGAGAGCCTGGGCTACAGTCTCTATGCCAGTCTGGGTACAGCTGACTTCTACACTGAGCATGGTGTCAAGGTACAGCTCCTTTGGTCACCTACTACTGCCCTCCACATGCCCCAGAGAAATCTCTCTGTCCCTTGCCCCATTTAGAACAAGTAGGCTATGCAAGAAAGCAGAGAAATTCCTCAGAATTTCTCCTGCACTGTTATCATTGTTTGTCCTCCCTGAATCTTGTCCATATGTACGTAGGTCTGAACTCATACTGCTGTTATATTCTACACAGTATAAATAACTTTTTCTGTCAAGAACTACACCTTGCCAATAGCAAATAGAAGCTGTCCCTGGTCCCCAGCCTGTGGATCCTCAGTCTCCTTGTCATGGCCTCCTGGGCCAGATTTCTTCAAGTAGGCCTTCCTGACCCCTGCCCTGCTTAGGTTGGCCTTGACCTTGGCTCTGGGCTGGCAGGTAACAGCTGTGGACTGGCACTTTGAAGAGGCTGTGGATGGTGAGTGCCCACCACAACGGAGCATCTTGGATCAGCTGGCCGAGAATCATTTTGAGCTAGTGATTAACCTGTCTATGCGTGGAGCTGGGGGTCGGCGTCTCTCCTCCTTTGTCACCAAGGGCTACCGTACCCGGCGCCTGGCTGCTGATTTCTCTGTGCCCCTCATCATTGATATCAAATGTACCAAACTATTTGTGGAGGTAACAGTCCCAGATGCTAAGAAGAGGAAGACAGAGGCTATAATAGGGGGAAAGAGGAAATTAACATGTTTTGGGGTTGGAAATGGCAGTGTGGAGCATCCATGCTAACAGTAAAGCTTTGTAAAGGCTGCAGAGGGAGCGAGGCCATATGGAGAGGGAGGAGTTTAGGTTATAAAAATACCAGGTCCCTACCTATGCTTCCCAGGGTTGCCCTTTAAGTCAGTGCTAACTATGCTTCCCACTTGCAGGCCCTAGGCCAGATTGGACCAGCCCCTCCTTTGAAGGTACATGTAGACTGCATGACCTCCCAGAAGCTCGTGCGACTACCTGGTAAGTGCATCTCTTAGGACACTGATAACAGCGCATAGAGGCCCTCAAGAGTTGTAAATGTAGTTACAAGGCTATTGCCCTGGACTGTGCAGACTAGGAAGACCCTAGAATCTATCTCACTCTGAGCTCCTTCATTCCTCAGTCTTTGGTGCCCTTACCAGTGGCTGTGAATTTTTCCACTACACCGACTCTGATCTTGTTTACCCCACCCCCCACTCCTTGATTCTCCTAGGATTGATTGATGTTCATGTTCACCTGCGGGAACCAGGTGGGACACACAAGGAGGACTTTGCCTCAGGCACAGCTGCTGCCCTGGCTGGGGGTGTCACCATGGTTTGTGCCATGCCTAACACCCGGCCCCCCATCATTGATGCCCCTGCTCTGGCCCTTGCCCAGAAGGTGAGCCTCTGCACCCCTGCTTCCTCAAACTCTTCTCCCTCTGTCCTCTCTGTGACCCATATACCTAGTACCATGCTGACCTATATGGGCATAAATGCCAGTGAGCCTTAACCTCATATATTCTCTCCAGCTGGCAGAGGCTGGCGCCCGCTGTGACTTTACCCTATTCCTTGGGGCCTCATCTGAAAATGCAGGGACTCTGGGTGCTGTGGCTGGGTCTGCAGCAGGACTAAAGCTCTACCTCAATGAGACCTTCTCTGAGCTACGACTGGACAGTGTGGCCCAGTGGATGGAGGTAATGCACCAACAAACTCTTATCTCCTGGTTTGAGGATCTCACCTATGTGGGCTGCCAACACTGGATTCGGTTTTCCAAGGGCAGTGCCCTCTGATGAGCACAGGGAATCAGAGACTCACCATTTTCCCTCATTAGTTCTTTCTGTCCCCAGCATTTCGAAACCTGGCCATCGCACCTCCCCATTGTGGCCCATGCAGAGCGGCAGAGTGTTGCTGCAGTCCTCATGGTGGCTCAGCTCACCCAGCGCCCAGTGCACATATGTCATGTGGCTCGGAAGGAAGAGGTAAGAGTGCATTGGAGGTCCTGGTACCTCTGTCACTTTCCTAGTAACATCAAAAGGTCATCAGAAATCCTTGGAGGCAGGAGAGAGTTAGGGGAGAGAGAGCCTAAACCAGTACCCTTGGCACATTTGGCCCTTAATGCTTTGAATAGGAAAGGTGGGCATGGAGACTTTGTAGGGCAGGTTATGTGGAGGGTCCTCCTGTGGATCACCCTGTTCTCTCCCTAGATTCTGCTGATTAAAGCTGCAAAGGCTCAGGGGCTACCAGTGACCTGTGAGGTTGCACCCCACCACCTGTTCCTAACCCGTGATGACTTGGAGCGCCTGGGGCCTGGGAAGGGAGAGGTCCGGCCTGAGCTTAGTTCCCAAGAGGATGTAGAAGCCCTATGGGAGAATATGGCTGTCATCGACTGCTTTGCCTCAGACCATGGTGAGAGGGCCCAACATGCACCGTCTCTGCCTCACCACACTTGTGCCCAATTCAAGCTGTAAGGCAGCCCTAAGAAGGAAGAGGGAACTAGGCCAAGATTCTGGGCTTTGTTAGCCCAGGGGATGCCATCTGTGAAGGACCCCAGATGCTAATTTAGTGCTTGGTCTATGACGACACTTGACAAATACCAGTTGAAAAAATCAATGAAATGTGTGCAGTTGTAAATGAAAAACTAAGTTTTCGGGTGTGGAGCCTAGAGGAAGGAGCAGTGCCACTCCCCTAGTTTCCAGTTCCAGGGCAAAAATGAGCATGGGGTTGGTAGTGAGGACAGTGAGGTTGCTAGAAGTGCAGTCCTGGGGTGTATTATGGAGATGGTTGGTCCAGCCCCTCAGAATAATGGCTATTTTTCTTGAAGCACCTCACACCTTGGAGGAGAAGTGTGGGCCCAAGGCTCCACCGGGCTTCCCAGGACTAGAAACCATGCTGCCACTACTGCTGACGGCTGTGAGCGAGGGCCGGCTCAGTCTGGATGACCTGTTACAGCGATTGCACCACAATCCTCGGAGGATCTTCCACCTGCCACCTCAAGAGGACACCTATGTGGAGGTGTGAGGACAAGGACCTGGAGTTGGGAGGATTCTCCACCCTTGAACCTGGCTGTACCCTGCATGACCTTACCCTTATGTAACCTGTGACCCTCTGGACAGGTGGATCTGGAGCATGAGTGGACAATCCCTAGCCACATGCCCTTCTCCAAGGCCCACTGGACCCCATTCGAAGGGCAGAAAGTGAAGGGCACCGTCCGCCGTGTGGTCTTGAGAGGGGAGGTTGCTTATATTGATGGGCAGGTATGTGTGCATGGTTTTTGCTGTGTGTCCCAGGTGCTATTTTCTTGCAGGTGTCTGTCCCTTTAAGAGCCCCATGTGGCACTCCCTTCTCCCTCCTCATGCACCTGCCTTATGTGTGCAGGTGCTGGTACCCCCAGGCTATGGACAGGATGTACGGAAGTGGCCTCAGGGGGCTGTTCCCCAGCCCCCTCCCTCAGCTCCTGCTGCCAGTGAGATAACCACGGTAACCAACTGCTCTTTGGCTGGCTCTGGCCTTCAGCCTAGGGGTGTGCCCCAGGACTGGACTAACAACTTGACCAATTTCATTGGTAGTTCAGGGGGTGGAAAGCTCTATACTTGATGAGGTCCATACTGCCTACCTCCCTGTCCACTACAGATCAAGACTTAGCTCTCAGTTTAGGAAGCCATCTGTGAGAATCACAGGCCTGGTGTTAATCTATCTGGGCCTTGTTGCTGGGTTGGCACATACCTCAAACAGGCCAGTGTATCTGCCACCTGTTGACAACATGTTGGGAGACCGGAGCAGTGCAGAGGTGGTATGGGGTGGACTCTTTTTACACAAGGGGCCATTTGGCTTTTCCTGAGGGATTGTGTATAAGCCTGCATGGGTCAGTCACTTTTCAATGTCCTGGGCCATCTCCATTGCAGACGCCCGAGAGGCCACGCCGAGCCATCCCAGGCCTTCCTGATGGCCGCTTCCACCTGCCACCCCGAATCCACCGAGCTTCTGACCCCGGTTTGCCAGGTAAGGCGTTCCTGTGGCACAAAGTAAGAGCCACTCCAGCTGACCTCTATAGGGATGTTACTGTTCTGCCCAGTGTCCAGAATGGACCAGGATTGGGGGCTCAGTTGCCCAGGAAATGATTCAGGCTCCTTCCAAGACTCCTTTGTTCCCTTCCCTGCCCTAATCTCCATCCCTCCTCCTAGTCTCATCCACTGTACCTTCCTTTGACTAAAGTAGTCACTGCAGCCTGAAGCAAACATCCCACAGTCTCTTCTCACAGGCCCTTTTCTGTTGTGGGCAGCTATGTACCTCCACCCAGGAGCTGGGATCTCATGGGGCAGCCGAGCATGGGGTAAATCCCGCTTGCTGGTTGGTGTGACCTTGGCCATTTCTTTGCTTCAGATTCCTGTGCCAGCTGGGAAGGCCCTGGGAGGGCACCACTACCCCTACACAGCACAGTCCCACTGGGAATTATGAGTCCCTCCCCAAAGCTGCTGCATCCCTTCTGCCCTCCCCTAACCTGCTGCAGCAACTGTGGTGTGAGGTGGCTTAACACAAGCACCAGGAGCAGAGTTCCTCATAAATTGGCCCATTTACACCACAGCCACAGGTGACTTCTATCCTATTGCCCTGTTTGCAGCTGAGGAGCCCAAAGAGAAGTCGTCGAGGAAGATAGTGGAGCCTGGTGAGAGTCCACCCTAATGCACACGGGCCTGGGGATTGCTGCAGTTTGACCTGGGTTGGGGAGCCCTCTGACCAGCATCTTCTCTTCCACTCCTCACTGCAGAGCTGATGGGAAACCCTGATGGCACGTGCTACCCTCCACCACCAGTACCTAGGCAGGCATCACCCCAGAACCTGGGGGCCTCTAGCCTGCTGCACCCCCAGACCTCACCCCTGCTACACTCATTAGTGGGCCAACATATCCTGTCTGTCAAGCAGTTCACCAAGGATCAGGTGCCTGGGGGAGAGGATAGGGACACCCAGAGCTGTGAGGATTTGGAAAGGATTTGGCCAGGACCTATGGGGGCTGCTCACTGCCTTTCCTGCTGACTGGAGGTCTTTCACAGATGTCTCATCTCTTCAATGTGGCACATACACTGCGTATGATGGTGCAGAAAGAGCGGAGCCTTGACATCCTCAAGGTCAGGACTGTGGGTTCTACCCACTACTTCCCCATGACCCCTATGAGAGCTCAGTGGTTTTATCTGGCCCTGCCTTTGGGCATCCCTGTCCCATCCTGTGCCCCCCCTCACTTCCCCGTGTCGTGTGTGTGTCTGTCTGTCTGTCCGTCCGTCCCCATGCATATAAGCCTTGAACTGTCAGCAGTTCAGCTTTCTGTTCTGGAGGATGCTTCCACTCTGGACCTGTCCCTTTAGCTTCCCTCTTCACAAGTTATTAACCCTACATATTGGGGTTATTTGGTCTGCATGGGGATAGTCACAGGAGAGAACTGTGGTATTTTCTTTTCTTCAGGGTCCCACACACTTGATGGCTTTTTAGAGATGGAAGCTTTAGGTCACGGGGGAGGTTCTCAGCACCCTCTGGTGGGGAGGTTGATCTCAAAGGTACATGCACACACACATACACTCACTCCTTCCATTTTGTTCTTTCCCAGGGGAAAGTCATGGCTTCCATGTTCTATGAAGTGAGCACCCGAACCAGTAGCTCCTTTGCAGCAGCCATGGCCCGGCTCGGGGGTGCTGTGCTCAGCTTCTCGGAAGCCACATCCTCTGTCCAGAAGGGCGAATCCCTTGCTGACTCAGTGCAGACCATGAGCTGCTATGCTGATGTTGTCGTGCTCCGGCACCCTCAGCCCGGAGCAGTGGAGGTGAGGCCAGCCTGTGTACTGAGATGGGGTTCACAAGGCTTAACCAAAGGACGTGATAGTCCACATTTTCTGTGACAAGTCTTGAGTGGGGCTAGATGGGTTGAGGGGACCCAAGAAGTATGGGGTAGAGGCAAGGAGGGATTTCCAAGCTGCAGAAAGCAGGATTCTCCATGCTGGTCCCGTCTTCACAGCTGGCAGCCAAGCATTGTCGCAGGCCAGTAATCAATGCTGGGGATGGGGTTGGAGAACACCCGACCCAGGCGCTGCTGGACATCTTCACCATCCGGGAAGAGCTGGGAACTGTCAATGGCATGACGGTAAGGGTGTCAGGAACTAGAGCCCTGCCAGGGAAAGGTCTGGAGAAGGAGTTAGGAAGTGGCTTCTCCAGGCCAGGGTGTGCTGTATGCAGGAGGCCTAGATCCTGGCTAGTCCTGGGGCCCAAGGCTTTGAGATGGCTCAGTGTGGGTCCCTCTGGTGACTGGGTGCCTCCTCTAGATCACCATGGTGGGTGACCTGAAGCATGGACGCACAGTGCACTCCCTGGCCTGCCTGCTCACCCAGTACCGCATCAGCCTACGCTATGTGGCACCTCCCAGCCTGCGTATGCCACCCAGTGTACGGGCCTTTGTGGCCTCCCGAGGCACCAAGCAGGTGAGACCATCATAGTTCAGCCCATACCAGGGGACCATGGCTGGGCGGTAAGAGCCAAGCACTACATTCACCGGGATTCCCCCTCCAGGAGGAGTTCGAGAGCATTGAGGAGGCACTGCCTGACACTGACGTGCTCTACATGACTCGAATCCAGAAGGAACGATTCGGCTCTCCCCAGGAATACGAAGCTGTGAGTACTAGGCTTAAGGAAGAAGCCAGGACTAGGCTGTAGGGCATCCAGTGAGAGTGTAGGAAAGCTGAACCTAAGACTGGAGCTGAGCTGTTAAGTCCAAGACCCCTTAGTTTGCTCCAGCTCTGTGTGGGTGTGAGGAACCCAGATGTGTACTGTATGGCCATCCCTTCCCTAGGTCTTTAATGAGGACCCCACTTGCCTTGCAGTGCTTTGGTCAGTTCATCCTAACTCCCCACATCATGACCCGGGCCAAGAAAAAGATGGTGGTGATGCACCCAATGCCCCGAGTCAACGAGATAAGGTGATACGGCATCTCCTTGTGAGCTACTCCTGGGATGGTTATGGGGAGGAGCCTTCATCCTGAACAGTTCATCTGGGAGCTTCATGGTAACTTTTCCTTCTCTTGCAGCGTGGAGGTAGACTCAGACCCCCGAGCAGCCTACTTCCGCCAAGCCGAGAATGGCATGTACATCCGCATGGCTCTGCTTGCCACTGTGCTGGGCCGTTTCTAGGGCCCAGCCTCTAAACTGCTTCTCTTTAGGCCCTGCTGCTGGGCAAGGAATCCCAGTGCCCCCCACGGGGGCAGCACACTTAGCAAGCATTCTGGGACAGCCAGACAGCTCAAGCACACACAGGGGCCATGCTTCAGGTTCTGGACTGGAGCTTTCTGGCTTGGGGGTGCAGTCTCAGATACTGGGGACCCATCAGCCCCATCTCTGTTCTTACACCTCAGATCTGTACAGTTACTTTTCTACTGACTAATAAACAGCCAAGCAGTTCCTCATAAGTACTATGGGTTTTAGCAGAGGATGCCTGTGTGGTAGGGTGAACGAGCTTATTGGGCTTTACAGGACTCAGGCTGGCACATGCTGTTCTTCTGTTGCTGCTCTTCATTCATGTATTTCCCTGATACCAAAGCTCACCTCGAGACCCTGGCTTATGTCCACCCCACCCTTGATTAAGTTGCACTCCAAGTCCTGGGGAGAACACCCAAGTCCTGGTAAAAGGGCAGCTGTGCACTGGGTCGGAGCTGCTGCAGTTCATTATCCACCAGGCCCTCATTCTTCCCTTTCTTGTTAGCCCTCTCCTTCAGTGGCTGGAGCTGCCATTACAGTCTTAGAAACTTGCCCTGAAGTTCTCCAGCTGCCATATCTGTGGGGACCCCCTCTTACGATCTCTGGGAGCCACTGCCTGATGCCCTGGAATGCTGAGCAGCTTTTGGCTTACAGACCCTAGGGTGGGGGCTGCAGTGGAGTAGCTCCTATATCTGCAGGTGAGGGCTTTTGTGGAGCAGCCATTCTAGGCCATGAACTGCAGCAGCATTTGAGAAATCTTATTTCTTTTTCCAACAGACTTGATTTGGCATGCTCTGAGTACAAAGCACTGTGTGTAGAACACAGCGTAAGATAATTAACTTGACCTTTTTTTTTTTTTTTTAATGTGTATGAATGTTTTGCCTGCATGTATGTAAGTGCACCTGTGTCATGCAATGCCCGTGGGAGTCAGAAGGCACTGGATTCCCCAGAACTGGAGTTATGGATGGCTGTTAGCTACATGTATGCTGGGAACTGTACCTAGGTCCTGGCTGCTCTTAACTGCTGAGCCATCTCTCCAGCCCTCTTTTTCCCCATCTTTTTTTTTTTTTTTTTTTGGTCTTTTTGAGACAGGGTCTCCCTGTAGCCCCAGCTGTCCTGGAACTCACTATGTAGACCAGGCTGGCCTTGAACTCACAGAGATCTGCCTGCCTCTGAACTCCTGAGTGCTGGGATTAAAGGCATGCGCCACCATGCCCAGCTCTCACTGTCTTTTTGAGGCAGGAAATTTGCCTGTCTGTCTCCTGAGTTCTGGGATTAAAGGCGTGCACCACCACACATGCCCAGTTTATTTTCAGTTTTTTCAGACAAGGTCTTGCTGTGTTTCCTAGGAGAACTTGCTGTGTAGCCCAAGCTGGCCTCTAATGTATAATCTTCCCCCCTCAACCTCCCAAGTGCCAGAATTCCCACATTGTACCATTGTATTTTGCTGTTTTTTACCTTTTTTTCTGGTTTGTTTTTTTTAAATTTATTTTTATGTGTTTTCCCTGCATGTAATTCCCACATAGGCCAGAAGAGGGTTAGCCACCATGTGGGTACTGGAACCTGAACCCGGTCCTCTGCAAGAGCAGCCAGTGATCTTAATCGCTGAACCATCTTTCCAGCTCCAAACTTTGTTTTTGAGACAGGGTCTTAACTTGTAGCCTAGACTGGCCATGGACTTTCAGATTCTCAATCCTCTTCACCTCCCAGGTGTTGGGATTAGAAATCTGCACCATCACATCAGGCCTTCCTTAGATTTTTTTTAGTTTTAGGTTATAAGAAGGTTATATCTGGTTATTTCTATAGATTAACCTGCCATGCATTGCCACTCAATGGTCTAAACTGCTCAGACGCCATTCAGGAAAACCTTTACCCAGAGCAATTAGCACATTACAGTAATGGGAAAAAGAATCTCTTTTTTCTTAACAGTACAAACAGGAACCTGATGTGTATTTTCATTTACTCTTAACAGCCTCTCAGTCACTTTTTCAGATGTGCAAACTGGCTCAGAAGAAGTTAGTGGGTGGCTCGCCAGACCAATAGCCCCAGCCTGTTTGACTTCAAATCCATCTACTAGAAAGGAAAAGGTCTTTTCTGGCTTTAAAGGCATCTAAGCCAACAGATCTAAGCAGCTAGAGAGCAAGGCTGGTATTTCCTATATGGAGCTAGTTTGTAGAGATCAGCAGTCAGAAAGGCCTGGTGGGCAGGAATGGATCTGGGCACTGAGGCAGGACAGGCTTTGGTGGGTGGACAGGAGGATGAAGCAGCTCAGAGTACAACCTGACAGCAGAGTGAAAGTCATCTATACAATGAGAACAACCAGGCTTGGAGGAAGTTCCTGCTTGGTGATGTTAGGGCTGAAATGACAACAGACCATGAGGTTTGGATAGCAATTCCCACAGAAGCATGAATCTGTAACCTGGGTGCTGCTTGGGGAACAGTGGAGTGAGGTACAGTTCTGTGTCCCAGAGAAGACAGACAACCAGGCCTGCTGATGTGAAACTTTCCAGTCTTGAAACCTGCTCCTGACCAACCTGGGGCCTCGTTGGGCTGAAAATAATACCATTTATAGAAGTACTTTTTAGGACTTTGGTCTCTCTGCTTTAGAATGTTTGCACAAGTCCATTTATTTTCCCCAAGACTATGAGAATCTGCCACAGATTCCTGCAAAACTTGCAGCCTTATCCCGGAGTGGAAGCAGCACTTGCTGCCAAGTGGTATGCACATTCTCCTTAGTTGCTAAATGGTGGGAGGTGTTCCTGCCCTGCTTTCTTTGGCTCTCCTAATCATAACACAGCTCTAAGTTGAATAAACTCCCCTACAACCAGAAGTTAGGTCTTATTACACTGGGAAGTAAAAATGAAAGCAGCTATTAGCCAAGAACAAAAACAACTCTTTAGTAAAATGCCATGTCTGAGCCTTTTCTCCATCCAATGATAAACCACTGACTGTGTTCCACGAGGTTCTCATTAACTACATGTAACCGATTTCCTGGTCTCAGATGGAGTATGTGAACATCATAATACTGAAGAAATTTGATCTATTTTTATTTTTACAATTTAATTTTTTACTGAATTTTTATCATTTAAAAAATTTTTTTATGTGTATGAGTGTATTGCTTGCATGTATGTGAGTGCACCCATGTTGTGCAGTGCCGTGGAGGTCAGAAGAGAGCTTCGGATTCCCCTGGAACTGGAGTTAAGGACAGTTTGTAGCTGCAATGTGGGTGCTGGGAATTGAACCCAGGTCTGCAAGAGCAGTCAGTGCTCTTAACTGCTGAGCCATCTCTCCAGCCCTGAATTTTTATGATTCTTAATACAATATAATTTGATGTTATTTAGGTCCCCTCCCCTCTCTGCACCTCCCACGCTTCCCTCACCCAATTTAATGTGTGTTCATATATATAATATGGCCTATAGAGTCTGATTTGTGTATCCAAATGTCCTTCAGTATGGGTCCATTCACTGGGCCCACCATAGTCCCCCTCCCAGCAGTGATCAATTGCCAAAAGTTCCTTAGGTTGGGTTTTGATCTATTTTTTAAAGCCATTCAATAGCTCTAATGTGTCAGGCACTGACTTAAACTCATTATGGATATTAATATTCCTTTAAACAATTTGAATGAACCCTTTAAATCTACCCCCCAAGAAGCCTCTGTAAAGTCATTTGCCCCTACACCTCACTTTTTTTGGGGGGGTGTCTTTTGAGACAGGGTCTCCCTGTAGCCTCAGCCGACCTGAAACACTGTAGACCAGGCTCGCTGAACTCACAGAGGTCCGCTTGCCTCTGCCTCCCCAGTGCTGGGATCAAAGGCGTGCCCATGCCCAGCCCTCACTTTTTTTTTTGTCTTTTTGAAGCAGGGACTCCCTGTAGCCCCAGCTGTCCTGGAACTCACTATGTAGACCAGGCCTTGAACTCGCAGAGATCCGCCTGCCTCTGCCTCCCAAGTGCTGGGACTACAGGCATGCGCCACCACGCCCAGCTTATTTTTTATTTTATGTGTATATTACCTGTACATAAGTGCACCCATGTGCAATGCCTGTGACAGTCAGAAGAGGGCATCAGATTCCCCTGGAACTGGAATTACAGTTGTGAGGCGTCATGTGTGTCCTGGGAATAGAACCTGGGTCCTCTGCAAGAGCAGTCAGTACTCTTAACCCCTCAGCCATCTCTCCAGCCTCTACACCTCACAATTTTATTGAGGAAGAAAATCACCTGAAAGTAATTTTGAGGAGCTCTGCACCTGCATCCTATCCCCAGCTGATCACTAGTCTGCAACTGGGACAGCCCTAAGGGTTGTAAGTTGAAAGGTGGAGTTGGAAGTTTCCTGTGTCAAAATGGCAAGTGTCTGGTCCTGTAGTAATAGCCCAAAAATGGTGGGGGTGTTGGCTGATGGAAGGTGAAACAGGCTGAAGCCCAGCTTGTGAGAAAGGCTGGAGAGCCCAAGTTCAGTTTCTAGCATCCATGCCAGGTGTCTCAGAACTGCTTGTAACTCCAGCTCCAGTGGGAACAGATGCCTCTGGCCTCCGTGGGCACCTGCCTTCAACATGCACAGCCATACAAATAATTTAAAACCTTTTTTTAAGAAAAAATAAATAAATGGCAGGGCTGGGCCTGGACAGATGGCTCAGTGGTTAAGAGCACTTGGCTGCTCTTGTAGAGGACCCGGGTTTGGTTCCCAGCATCCATGTGGTGGCTCACAACCATCCATAACTCCAGTTCCAGGGGATCCAACACTCTCTTCTGGCCTCTGCAAGCACTGTACACACATGGTGCATTTATATACATGCAGGTAAATCATTCATACACATTTTTTTTTTTAAGGTTTGATGTGGCTCGGGAGATTGCTCAGGCTGTAAAGTGCTTTGTGATCATGAAGAACCTGAATTGGATCCCCAGAACCAATGTTTGTGTTTTTTGGTTGTTTTGTTTGTAAAGCCAGGTGTAGTACTACTTTAGAAATCTCGGTGCTGAGGGACAGGATGAGGTGTGAAGGCAGGGATCCCTGGGATTTGCCAGTCAGCCAGCCATCCTCGCCTACTTAGCTCCACGCCAATGAAGAACTGTCTCAAAAACAGTGGATAAATCCTGAGGACACACTCAAAGTTATCCTTTGGCCTCTACACATGTGTACATGCATATACATATGCATGCACACACACAACAATGGCATGAATGTTATGAGATATAAGGAGAGAGGAAAGAAAAATTAC